CTATGGTCATCTACCAGTCTTTTGGGGATGGTCGAGGAATTCCTGGGAACGGGGATGGGCCATACCCTATCTTTTGACCATGCTGTGATGATCCCAATTGATGTTTGCTGATAAACCAAGGTAGATATATCGAACTAGTGTGTGGTATATGAACTTATAACTCTTAAAACCATTTAGAACCTATGTTTGCTGGCTTACAACCTAGTTCGATATGTCATAAACACCATTGTTGGCCTAGTTAGAATGCAACGTAGCCAGCTATGGGTCACCACGTTCAATCCCACCTGGACCTAGGATGATGATCCGCATTGGCTCATATACTCATGGGATGGGTTGACACCACCAACCAAGCCCCCTGTTAAAAACAAAAAGTAAAAGGTATGGTCCGATTTAAATAACATATGTAACATATGAGATATGATATTTTTAGAAGTCTTGGATATGGAAATCCCGAATAAGTTGAAACATCTTGAGCACCTGGGAAATAATCGGGAAATATAATCTACAATCCTGTCCCCTAATATGAAGCACCCCGATTCTATGGTCCTAAGTGTATGTAATGCCCCTACTAAGCCATGGTTTTGGTATGTTGTTGGAGGGTGTACAATATGAACGGGGGAACGGATTATATGTGTATACATATATAGATAGATGATGATAGATAAATTTCCCAACTTCTTGGTTGTAAAAGCACCATTGACTGAGAACTATAGCTATGTCCACTTTGTTCAAGGTGAGGCCCCCCTAGCTAAGTCCACTTATACCTTGGTGCTGGTGAAGGATATATGATATATGATATAATTATAGTTTGAGTAATGAGTTATACTGGTTATACTAGTATAATAAACCAACATCACTACAAAGGTGTCACCTTGCACATCGAAAAGCCGAAAAACGGTCAGGCCCTGAACGCGGCGTCAGATCCCGGTCTGCTACGGCAGCTGGCCTTCCAGCCGCCGTGTCCGGAAACCAGCGGGTGTCCTTTGATGTACCGTAATCAGATTTCATCCACCAAATTACGTACGATTTGTTGGATTCTTGAGATGAGTAAGTTTTGATCCAAAAATTCACATATTGAAAAATCATCCGAAAAGAGATCTAGGTTTCTTGAAGTTTGGGAGATTCGAAAGCCTCATTTGAGGCATGTGCAGGTCCTTGACTGCTGGACTGAGGGCAATGGGAGGGTAGGTCCATAGGTGAAAAACAAACTTTAACATTGGATTTGCCAAACAGAGAAGCACCAATGTTTGGTGGAATGATGGTTCGAAGCATTTTGATGTGCTGAAGTGTCCACATTTGCCTGACATGACTCCAAGGAAGATGTATTTTCTTCGGGCCCAGATAGATTGGTTGTTGGCTGTTAGTCCCATCCCCAGCATGTTATAACATATTAATTAACCCTATACTAAACCATGCTTTCTGGGGGTGTCAGACATTAGAAGGGATTAGTTGCCTGGTGCCATGATGACCAGCGCATCTTAAGGTGTGCCCTTCAGCGAAGGAACACCGACGCAAGGCGCCGCTGTCGTGGATTTCCCGCTCGGGTGTCAAGCTGCTGTTGAATTTACCCTTCGGCAAGCATGGCAATGGACAATTCCCCATACATATCCAGAATTATTGCCCAATGGGAGAGTCATCTATTATATAAGTATATATAAGTGGTATTTTCCATTGCCATGTTTTGATTACCGGAAGGTAATGTTTATGCATTACTATGATATTGAATCCGCACGGAACCTTGGTTTCGTTTTTGATCTAGTTATTTTGATTCATTTTGGGTACCTTAATCGGGGTAGTTCATATTGAAGGGATAGGATTGCAAACTTTATAATGGATGTGTGTGGCACATACATGACATGAACACATATATATATATATATATGTATATATTATGTGTGTGTGTATATCTGACTGGATTGTTTTCAAATGATTGACTACCCACTTAGCAGCTATGCCTCCAGCTGCTGGGCCCATTCCCCCCTGCATAATTTCATGCTCTGCAGGGGCTGTGGGCCCGGCACCAGCCCAAACTTTACGAAGAGGCTCAGGCGGGCAATCTGGAGAAAGAATCAATGGATTGGTTTTGTTGGGAAAATCGTGGAAAATCTGTAGGAAATTGTGTGGTTTTTCCATGTTTTTCCCACAGAAACCATGAGGTTTCCCATGGTTTCCCGTATTTTTCCTCTGATACCAATCCGGTGATTGAACAATTGGTGTCTTAGAGTGTTTTCCTGCAAAATCCTGCACATGTGCTTTCAACAAATAGGACAATTTGGGATCGATCGCTTACTGGATCTACCCAGGCGCGTCATCTAGTCGATTCACACAGCATGGGCGCTCAGCGGCTGGAGTCTGGCTGGGATGGCAAGGTTGATTAGGACTATATCTCTTAAAGGAGTTCACTAGATGGTTGAACATGGATAAACATGGATTGTATACGTTCATGTCAATTATCTTTGGTTCAGATATTTATGATTGATTATGTATGTGATGGTGTGGCTTGTGAGCGTTGTGATGTTCTATAACATCTTAAAACTATACAAGTTGAGGGTGATTTCAATATCCCAATGTTCAATCCTGGTCCATGTGCGTATCTTATTCAGTGGGTCCGCTCCTGTATGTCACCTATTCCAAAAAAAATCTATCCAATGATCATATTTTTCCAGTACTTCTTTAAGTTCTATTCTGGTTGGTGGTTTCAATCATTTTTATTTTCCATAATATATGGGATGTCATTCTTCCCATTGACAAACTCATATTTTTCAAGATGGTTATTGCACCACCAACCAGATATATATATATATTATTCATTAGATCAGGTATTAATCACTAACCACTATTAATCACTATTAACCATGCTTTAAACCACCAACCAGTATTTATTTATGAAAGCTGTTTTTGTTGGCTAAACTCAGCTGGGGCAGATTTTCGGGCAGATCTAGGGACCTTCGCACAGGGGGGATGAGCTTCCCAGTCTTCTCAGAAGTCGAGGTGGCCCTGAAGGCCGTGTAAGTCATCGCTGGGAGAACTGGCGGTCTCAGCGGGTTTCCCACATATCCCTAGGCTATGTATACAAGTAACAGATGTATGGGGTATATATGGGAGAATGGGATAGCCCTATTTTTCCTAAAAGTTCTTGTTGAATACTTAAGTATTTGGAAAAGTGTTTGAAACCACCAAGCTGGAATGTGCTGGAATTTGAATGAAATTGATGGAAATTTAAGCGTTGATACTGCTGGATTTGGCCATCGAGGTTCAATATTATAGATAGGTTTGGAGGATGCTGCTGCAAATGGAGTTGGGGCGAAGGCAGGGTCACAAAGCAACCAACCCTCAAAAAGGGCAGCTCAACATGTCAGGCTTGATTGAACTATTCAACCATTTGCAGATGACATGGAAAGGACCAAGGGTCACCTTCGGAATATCTCCGTCCGAGCACTGCATACCGCAATTTTCAAAGTCCATAGGATGGTATAGGACCGCAAACCAGATTCACCCAACTGAAACATGAGGAAAACCATTGGAAAATTGGAAAAATCTAGAAAAATCCAGTAAGAATCCATTGAAAATCCATCAAAGATCCAGTGGCTCAGTGTTTTTTTTCTCGGGCGCCTCTAGAGGCGAGGCCTGTCCGTTGCATCTGCCGCCATGGCGCCACATGGCGCCGTCCAAGGCGTCCAAGGCCGGAATTGTTGTTATTTTACTAGAGAAAATGGTGGAGTTCACCAAGAAGTAAGAGGATAACTCTCTATATTATATATATACTATATGGATATTATGTTATATATATACAATATATGAATATATATATATATAATATATATATATATATGTATGGCTATACCAGGAAGTTGGAAAATGGTGGAGTTCCAATTTCATGAGGATTTAAGTATCTAAAAATATCGCGGGATTTCACAGCGGGTCCCTTTTGGAATTGGGTAGTTAAAACGTTTCACCCTGAAAGCTATGGGGGATATACAACCAGCTATCATACAACCAGCTATCATACAACCAGCTATCATGGGGATTTTTGTCGGGCTTGGGACGGGATATATTCACCAACAATATGAGTGCTGTTTGGTGGCTTGGAACATTTTGTTTTCTCCATATATTGGGAATAATAATCCCAACTGACTTTCATATTTTTCAGAGGGGTTGAAACCACCAACAATATGATTGTGTTTGATAAAAATGGTTGGTATGCCCATGTATGCTCTATTTATAATCGATTTATGGTGATTTTCGATGAAAAGGAACATGACGGCCACCCGTTAGATGGAATGGGGTAACCTCTTTTCAGAGAACCCCCATGTACAGGATCTACTAAGATATGCGGATGAAAGTGGCATACTATAATTAAAGTTGTTCGTTTCACATACATTGCATACATGACAGTTTTTTTGGATGACACATGATGTTTTGACATAATGTTTTGATCCTAGAGCCAGCTGAGTGTAGGTGAATCTGCGAGATTTGCGATGGGAGGTCAGGAGCTTAGAGATCACCATGGTCAAATCCACTGAAATCACAGAGCAAAGAGTGAGAAGGAGCTGAACAAGAACATCCAAGAACATCAACATCATACTGCACTCATTTTGTACATATATATATATATATCATTGATTATCATTGTATGTATACATATATATACACATATACTTATATATATATAGATAATTATATGCATATACGATGTATACTGTATACCAATAATTTCATCATGAGACATTGCCAGTCGTGAGGCAGTTCTCCAGCTCCTCAGAGAAAGCAAGGCACGGGATATTGAGGATGGTTGCGAAATCCTGCACCACCTGGGATGGTAGAAAGCCTATAAAAAATGGGATGTTTACCAGCAGTTACCGAAAAAAAACTGGTGCAGGATATCTTCCAGCGTACAAACTTGCCATCCCAAAGCCGCAATCGATCTCTAGGCCCCATCCGTGGCCCTACTGGGTGCTGCAGTGGATTCCTTGGGGCGTCAGCGGCAATGGCACAAAGTCATGACTTTGCTGCAGCAGATGGAGGAGGCCTACTTCGGTTGGACGGTTTTGGGGGAAACCTTCAATATTCTAATGATTTCAATACCAAACACTACTAAAAAAATACCAATGTTGAATGGTGTTTGGGGACCCCAGTTTTTATAAACCTTCGTTTGTGGTGCTCCGGGTGCCGGCAAAACTGTTCAAAATTCATTTTGCTCGCATATTTGGTCATGCGATTCAGTATTTGGTGCCAACGGCACTGTCGCATCGGTCTTGCGTAGAACACAACCAATACCTTTTTAAGAGTGTAAACTTGATTACAGGCCATAGGGTTATGGGATTTGAGGGTTTTAAAATTGATATAACTGTTGCAACGTCACTTTCCGGCTGACAATCCCGAACATTTGTGAGGCCTCCACACAAAGCAACACCATCCTCTTGAATGCGGCGCTGAACTCGCTGACTGGCAGTTGGCTTTCGGCTTTTGCCCTGAAGCAGAAGATGGACTGCTGTTGGAGGTTAAGCACAGGCTTAAGACGGCAAGGGCCTGTTTTGACTTGTGTATCTGATATGTGTTAATTTTGTGGTTGCATAGATATGATGTGTATGGATGTTCATGTATTTAAAATCCATGTGTTCGCTTGGTATGTGACAGCATTTTGGTGGTAATTTGACTCACCAGGCAGCATCAATCGTTTGGAAACGCTTTGGTTTGCACCTTGGAAGGACCTGACCGGACTGCAACCCGATGTCATCACCTGGAACACGTTCCTGGCCTCAACGGTTGATCCCTAGATGCTCATACCTGGGAGGCCCGTGAAATAGGGCCAAAGGGGTTTGCCTCAACATACATAAGATACGGGGCGCCCTTGTGATGTTGATTGGAACATTGATGATAAACCAAAAAGTTTTAATGGGATTTGGTGATGCCATATTTTTCAGACAAACTCGAATAAATGCTCAAAGTTTACATAGTTAAGAGGGGACACCAGAGAAACAAAAACATTCAAGCCAGGAAGATATAGGTGAGTTGAGCTCTAAGATCCAAGATATCCAAGATCTCTGAACATTTCTGGGATGATCCTACGGCAGGTTGTTCAACGGCCCGTCACGCCACTCGCCACAAGGCTTTCCAACAGCTGCACCAAGAGCACCGCATGGCATGTGGCCTTCCACTGCCTCGCTGCTCTCACCAGGCCAGCCAAATGCTCGCTTCACTGCCCAGGGTGTTATGGTATCCATCAAGATCCATGATTTGAAATTATGTGTGGCTGATGTTTCCAAATGCTTCCAGCAAGACATGGTGATTTTCCAGCAATCCTTGGCCATACTTGGTTTATAGTAACCTCAAAAAAACTACAGAACAGTGCTTCTATCTATCTATCTATCTATCTATCTATCGATCGATCGATCGATCGATCGATCTATATATTTTTTGTTATATTATATACACTTCATGTCTCCAGGTTTCTCGCTTTTTTTTTGGCTGGGGGGGCTTGCAATAAGCACGTCCAGATCAACGGCAGGCGCAGCTTGGAAGCGAGCGTGGCCAGTTACGGTGCGGCCACGGGCGGTTTTTGGCAGGACGCCGTTGCACTGAGGACTAGGATGCCACTGGGGCTGTGGGGCCAAGGGGGGGATGAAAAACATGGGAATGCCTCGGGTGAAAATTGTGGATATTTGAGTATGATATTTCCCATAGGATCCATGTATGGTATATATGCTAACATGTGGGGTATATTGATGGTAAATGTTACATAATGTTAGCATATATACCATACATGGATCCTATGGGTTTGTGGGTAATTGTTGATATTTGTTGATCAAGTCAGAGGTATTCAAATTTATTTTTGATTTTATGATGATGGGAATTGTGATAAATAGGAATAGATTGTTTTCCTTCGACCTATAAACACTCAGTTCCTCCCTCGGTGTGGGTAGGACTAGCATGACATTTATTTCTGACCCATGACTTGAGAAACATCAGGGCTGCAGGGCAAAGAGTGGAAGCAAGGAAACCTCAGCAGCAACTTTTGAGCCTTCAAGCAACAAAACTTCCAAAAGGTTGAACAAGTTACCCTCTGGTAATTTAACATAGCTATTGAAAATGACCATAGAAATAGTTGATTTTCCCATTAAAAATGGTGGATCTTTCCATAGCTATGTTAGCTTACCAGAGGGTATGTGCAATTTTTTCGGCAGAGAAAGGATAGCAAAAATGACTGGCCTGCTCGGGTTTCGGCACACACTGCGCCGACTCATCGATTTCTTTTCCAAGGTTGGAGCGTGGGCTGCATGGAAATCGGATCATCAACAATGGGGTGCTGGGTGTTTGCGCGACTTGGAAGCACTTCCCAGTCAGTGCCTGTACCGCATTTTCCGGCAGAAGAAGGGCAGAAGAAGGTAAGCCGGACTTTCCGACATAGGGTCCACTCTTCCAGAACATATGAGCTGTGGTCAATACTCATGGTTAATAACCATTAATAGGGGCTAGTCATCCAATGGTTCCACTCGGGATTTAAATTAACATAAATTAACCATTATTTTTGGATCCTTATTATTTTAAATTAACCATTATAAATTAACCATTATAAATTAACCATTCATGGTTCAATGGGATGACCATCAACCATTTTTTGTGAGTATTGACCATGGCTCATATCAGAACATGTTGAAATTCGCCGTGGGCTCTCCAGGAAATTCAGCGTCCCATGCTGATAGAGTGACGCAGTGACCCCTGAGACAGTTGCTATAGGCGAACTAAGTGTCGTTTAACATGTTTAACTATACGGATAACTATACGGAGAACTAAGATTGAACATCAGAAGGAATGCAGGTGAAAGGTGTTTCATGTCTTTTTATTGGAGTAGGATCCTCCAGAAAAAAAAAAGATACTCTCGCGAACATCCAACTACACTAGGAACATCATCGTGTTTCGCAAGAAGCACCAGTGGCACCAAGTCTCGAGCTAATGAACAATATATCAGAAAATCACACGTTGAGAAGTTCAACTTCAATCGGCTTAATTACGTTTCTTCCGGTCAGATAGCTTCATCCCAAATATCACAATACCTGACAATACCCATATTAATCCATGACTATCATCTAGTCCTTGTCTAAAATCCTTTTAGTTAAATCCTCTCCAACATCCTCAATAACTGGTTGGTGGTTTGGAACATTTTTCCCATAGTATATGGGATGTAATCCTTCCCATTGACGAACTCATATGTTTCAAGATGGTTATTGCACCAACCAGATAAGTATTTCCTGGTAAACATACAAAAAACGATGGAAAATCACCATTTTTAATGGGAAAATCAATGAAAATCCATCAAAATCCATGAAAATCTTCTAAAATATCCATCAAAATCCATGAAACGCAGCCCCAGTGGCCCCATGGGCCACATCCCCGGCCTCCTTTGGGACGAGCAGCGCCAGCGTTACTTCAGCCCCCCGCCGCGCGGCGCCGCGACGGCCACGGCGCAGCCGAGCGATGCGGCCGCCGAGCCGCGGAGGGTGGCGGAGCTGCCGGTGGCGCCAGCGGTGGCGAAGAGTTTGGCCGAAACTGGGTGGATTTTGATGGGGATGGGACGAAAATGGTGGTATAATGGGTAGATTACACCTTTTAGACAAAGTCGTTCCTTTTTTAAAGAAATGTCTATATTTAGTTGCGTCGAAGCTTTCCCTGGAAGTCGTGCCTTTTTGCAAAACGCAAGCAAACTCTGGTGATCACAGCGCACAGAGCACCCAGACCGTAGTCGGAGAGCATGCCAGGAATGCAAGCCCGGAGACAGAAGCAAAATAATGCGACCCAGGACTGCAACCTTTTCAAAGCAGTGAGAGCTTACAAACTGCCTTGGCCTCTTTCTGTGTCAGGGGGCCGTAGCTACCCAGTATCTATTTACGGAATTCTTACTGAGAACCCCATACAGATAAACCTGTTTGGGGAAGAACGTGGGCAAATAAGAAACAGTGAATCGCAAGCGCAGGGAAGAGAAAAAAGGGTGAAAGTGAAAGGTTCTGATTTGGAAAGGGTTATTTTGACGCTTGCATTCACAATGGGGGAAGACCAAAAGGCATGACTTAGGCATGACTTCTTGATGTTGCGTTCACAAGCGGGGAAAGCGAAAGGAGTGACTTAGGCATGACTTTGTCAAATCCCTGTATGGGATATTAATCTGATATAATGGATATTATCAATGGATAATCTGGATTTCTATGGATAGATGAGGCAAAGATTTTCATGGGACAAGATGGTGAATGGGTAGATTATGGGATACTTATGGGATATATGATGATATATGTAACTTATTTCTTTATGGCTGTTAATGGATAATCTGGCTGAATTATAATGACCTCATTTGCGACGTCACTGGAATGATTAGTGGGGTAAACTATCCCAAATTTGCATTTGTTTTCCGGCTGGAGAATTATTGTAACTCAGCCAGATGATATAAAGCCTACTGGGTAATTAGAAGCTGGTGAACCTAAGAACAGGATTGTTGATTTTATATAATTACATGATATATTATGTTTTTTTGGGGGGGAAGGGTTGGAAGATGATAAACCCCAAAATAGAGGATACGGGGTGCTACAAGATGACATAAACCTGCTGGGTGTTTTCTTGTAGGTTTGGTTTTGCCACAATGTTTGTATCTTTGAGTGAGCTAAGAATATGTATCTTTGAGTGAGCTAAGAATAGGACATACCAAATGTTTGACATGTCTGGTGTTTTTTTTCTTTGGGTGGTGGGGGATTGGAATGTGGTGAGCCCAAAATCTTCTTTGATGAATTTTGATGATATATGAATTATGCTTACTGACTTTGGTGAATCTTGGTTCTTTTTTGTGGGGCAAGGGTGTTGTAAGTCTATTCTTGGGTTTACCCCATAGTCCCGACCCCAACAGTTTTGCCGAAGGAAATCCAAGCATACCGGGCATGTTTTCTTTCCGCTCCGATGTTTGAGTTTTTGGTCCAGTCCTACGACTGAGAAGATGAAGAATATGTCTGTTTGTTACAAAACATGCTGAGTTTGTTGTTTTATGGGTATGGGTCAATACCTATACATGTTTAGTGGGTTATTCACATCCATAAATCCCAGCTATTTTAATTTTGGGGTTCACTAGGTACCAGGGTTTTGACATACTGCCATGTGACAAAAATGGTGGTATAATGGGTGGATTATGGGATATGAATATGATATAATGGATATTATCAGTGGATAATCTGGATGTTTTTTGTTTGTTGGCACCTTTTCCGGTTTTTTTCAACGGGTGAAGCCATCTGATGCCAATAGGAACCCTTTCGGAAGAAACGCCGCACCGAAGCTCCAGAGCCGGCAGAGCGAGACGCTTCGATCTGCGCGGTTTGTTTGGAAGCCTTTGGGGACAGGCAAAAGGTGCTTCGCTTGCCTTGCCAGCATCTTTTTCACGATTCGTGCCCTTGGTTTCCAATAGCGTACATTTTTGATCATTTTTTGATTCTCCAACAAATTGTCCAATAGCCTCGATATTTTTAACAATATGTCCATTTTCAGAAACACTCACCATGGCTCTAAGTAAACCCTGAGCAATGGGAATATCATCCACCATGAATGTTAGCAATGGCAAAATTTACCTTATGATATTCTGCTGCCGTTATATCCACTTATATCCTGTTTTTTTTTTTGGTGTTTGATTTCCCACAGATATTTTCCTAAAATTATGGTACTTACCCCTAAATCATCAATTTCAAGACGTTTTTCCCACTCGGGGTACCCCATTTATGGAAACTCCATTTTGGAAATCCAAGGTGTTTGCAGCCCTGGATGGAAAACCGTGGCAGTTGTCCCAAATGCCGTTCCGCCATCGATGCCGCTCTGGATGTGGCACAGAAAGCGGCCTCGGAACGTTGGGAAGACAAGCAGTGAGTGCTGGAAATGATGATCTGGTTGGGGGGTTCAAATGGTTATGGGGTGTTATGGGTCAAGACCCTGGTACCCGTTGGTACCCTAGGTACCTTACAATTGTTGCTTATTGGATGTTCATCCGCCCAAATGGTCATAATTGGTTTTGACCCGTCCCCATACTTGGTATTTCTTTTTTCAACCATACCAAAAGGATGATTGGTTGGGATGACTTGTGCACATGTTTGGGATAAGATTTCAACCCACCAGCCAGTGATGGAATGGTGCAAAACATGATGGGTGTGTCCCAAAAATGCTCGTGGAGTGAAACACCAGGGGAATGTCACCATTGTTTGAAATTTTCCAAAAAATGGGGGTCTCATGCGGACCCCTAATATTTGTTCAGCAAAATATTAGAAAAGAGTTGCCGGATGATTGGATATGGATGTGTATGATGTGCAAAGATACTGATTTTGTTTATCATCATTACATATTATCATTTATAGATGCATTTATTGTTTCTTATATATTTTTGGTTACATATATACGTATATATCTGGCATTAGTTCGGATTTGATTTGCAGAGTCCCCTTTCATTGGCCCGGTCTGAAATACGACCTGCCAGCTCTCCACTGCGAGAAAAAAACGTGGACCCGGGGTGGACCCAAGAGGTGGTGTCAATAGTGGGCAGCGAGGATCATGAATGGTATGTTTCGTCAGTTTACTCTCTGGCACATGGCATTTCCAGATGATTTTAGCTATCAAACCTTGCCATCTTCCATGGCTCTACTACATCACCAGAGTGGTTGGTGTATCTAACAGCATGAATGACTAATTATTAGCATGGTTGATGTATCTAACAGAATGAATGACTCATTATTAGCATGAAGCACTGCATTTATCACTATTGATCACCGTGAATCACTAGATCACTCGAGGTCTTGCTTGGGGGTGAAGGGATCAATGGTCAGCAGCCACGGCACCAAGGCGAACTTTGGACAGTGGAGCTTCTGCTTGGAACAACTGCAACCTCTAAGGTGCTGCGTTTGAAGCCATGGGTTGGCGGCTGAAAGGTATGATCTGCCATAGTTTTGGAGAAAGCAGGTCAAACATAGATGATGGCAGAAATCTAGGAGATCATGATTCGATGTGGGGGATGTGAATTTGCAATCACTTGTAATCGGCATGAAAGATGAACGCAATAAGGTCACATGTTTGGCGTCAAAGCCACCAACTATCTTGGATCAGGTCATTCCTGGTTGAATCCTGGTTGACAGGTACCCTCCAGTAAACTAATAGTCTGCTATTGAAAATGACCATAGAAATAGTTGATTTACCCATGAAAATGGTGAACCTCCATTTTCCCATGGTTTTCCTATGTTTTTCCCATGTTCCCATGGTTTTCCTATGGTTTTCCCATTTTCCCATGGTTTTCCTATGGTTTTCCCATTAAAACCTCCATTTTCCTATGGTTTACCAGGCCGGGTCCCCCCAACTCATCGGCAAGGCACGCCATGATGCAATTGGACACGTTGAGTTTCAGCAGCCTCTGCAGCGCGACCGTCGCCCGCCCGTGCGACGAGCGTTTACGGGTCAGAGCCAGATGATATATGATTACACGATGATTATGTTGTTTTTTAATGACATGTTGTTATTAAATGTTATTAAACAATGCAATGTTTAGTGATTTTATGCTGTTTATGGCCTGATAATATTGATGCTATGTTGATGTTAAACCGATGTTGGCAGATCCTGGCGAGACTTCAGGGGCACAAAGGATGATGACTTTACTTACCACTTGGAGGATCATGATCATGGTGGACCGTAACCATCATAGAAATACTCTGCTAAATGTTCAATCACACAGAGAGAAACATATCAATCCCAACACGGTGTCAACCTAGATATGAATTTTCCAGATGTTGATAGACATGTAGATGTCATAGATGCCAACCGTGAGTGAATATACATCATCCCATATGTGTCATGTTATTTTTCATTGTAGTGTGGTTAAAACATGTTAAAACAATAATAAACCATCCCCCCGTCATCACCATTTTTATAGGTGGTATAAACCATTCCCAAATGGGTCTCTGTTAATTCATTTACAAATTTACCATGGATTAATAGAGGATTTGGGATACCATGAAAAAGTGGGAATCCCATCATTTCCCATCAATGGGTAGTTTATTATTGTTTTAACCACATTATTACTACTGCTAAAGGTTCATCCCATTCGGACGCTGGCCTCAGGAGAAGGGTCAACAGTGGCAGCTGGCCCTGGTGGTGCTCCCGCAGGTGGCTGAAGAGGCGAGCGGAGCGGTGCTGTGCGAACAAGAATGATTCGGGATGTTTCGTATATTTGTGATATAATGTGATACATACATATACACACACATAAATATATATAGTTTTATTTTATTGTATTATTTGTTTATTTTATTTTAGATATATTATGTGTAGTATACATTATATATATACACATACATATATAAATAATGTTCACTATACATTATATATCTATATAGAAAAAATAGAGGAGAGAGCTGTGTGTACTTAGATGTGTATATGTATTTTATGTTATTGCTATCGCTATTTATGGTAGACTCACATTTCCAGCGCAAAAACGCCCTACATCTCGCCATTGCAGGTGCACCCTTTAGGGTGCCATTTTTGACCGGTGAACTCCCAATTTGGTTATAATAGTGGTTAATAGTGGCTAATAGTGGTTAATAGTAACCACTATTAACCACGATTAACCACTATTAACCACTATTAACCCATTTCCCCGAGAAAAAAACCTCGACCCAGGCCTTGGCCAGGGACACAGTGCTGCGGAGCTCGGTGTTGAGTGCTTGCGAGAAGGGACATAGGCTGGGAGATGTGGTGAACTGCGAAGTGAGAATCTATCTGGCTTGATGACATAATTTATACATATATATATATATATGTCTATTAGTACTATATATATATAATTACATGTAATATATATATATATGTAATTATATATATATATATGTGTAATATGTAAATATAATATGTGGTAAACCCAATGCCATAATAAACAAATCATTTGTGGAATGATTGATACCACAGATGCATCTGGATCAGATCATATGACTGGATGGGATTTCACAGGCATCCACAGCAGCAAAGAATACAGAGATATGGAAAAGAACCATGTGGAAACAGAAGGACCATTATGGTGGATATATGGTGGAAAATATGGAAAAGTATGAAAAAAATATGTACAAATGGTGGATTCATCAGGATTTCCATATTTTTTCACTAGACCCGCTACGGGGTATATAAATGATAAGCTTTGCCATTTCTATGACCAGCCATTGGTTTACAGAAAAGGTGGGTTTTCGAACCATCACCGACTATTAACCATTTGGGTGCTATTTTAAATCGTGCCAATTCAAGAGGCATACCCAAAACAAACCGGACAATATGTTTTACTTCCTTACCTGGTGAATGGTTTGCCACGCACAAGAGGGAGACCACAAAGAAAAAGGGACAAACAAATGCTTTGCAACACAATGCTAATCGGAAGTACCCTCTGGTAATGAAATCCCCTATAACTGGAGGCTTTAATGGGAAAACCATGTATATAATACAAATGATGGATTTTCCATTGCCGCGTTTGATCACAGGAGGGAAACTGGATATGATCGAATCAAGACCTATGTTTTTCCTCTGGGATGAAGCAACAACAACTGGGGGTTATCATGTGGATGATTGAGAGCAGCCTCAGAGCCAAAATTTAAAGTAGCCGGGACCACAGATTTTGGATGCATTGAGATGATTTGTAAGTTTGAGTGAGACTATATCATATATATATATATTTCTATATGTATATTTACAAATTATTACAAACCTTTATATATATATATATTCTATAGTGGGAAACAACAACAACCTCACTGTGACGTCACTGGAATGACGGCTAGTGAGGGGAATCATCCCGCCTTATTTCGGGGTTGGTGAGTCACAAAATATCAAGATTACTGTGATATAATATATAGATATAGATAGATAGATACAACCAAGTTTGTATGTATCCATCATCAAAACAGGCAGCCCCCACATGCGCCAACAGCTTGAGGAAGACCCCAGCGCTCCCAGTGAGTTCTGGATCCAACAGTTGGAAACTTGAAAAATATAAGTGGCATGAGTGGTACCTGGTGAGTATGATCCACACTATCCTGGAAAGTTTCTAGAGTTTCTATGTATGTATATATATATAATCTATTTTAGTGTGGACCTTTGTGCTAAACCTTTTGAAGTCTTGGCAGTTTCAGGTGGCAGACAGCATTGTCCTTATCTCATCGCAGTTTGGAGGAGTTTTTGACCGTTTTTTTTTGGCGAGGGGTGCTGACGTGAATACGTCCAAAAGAAATAGTGATACGCCAAGTGGCGATTTCGAAGGGGACATGAGTTTGCAAGCCTGGCATTTTGGGGCATCCTAGTTTCAGACACATCTAATGAATTTGCTGAGAAATTTGAGTCACCAGTTGATAGCTTAGAGATGCTTAGAGATGGGTTGAAGTCACCACATGAACACACTCAAAGTGATTTGTAGGAGTTCACCAAAGTGAGTCCTTGAAAAAAGATATATAAAAAATAAAGCCGCAATTGAGGGCTGTGTATATGCATATATATATATAATCATAGGTTTTGTGCAGACATGTGCGTCGAGTTTTCATACTGTGGCCTCATTTGAACTCAGAGGGCAACCACTGACGGACTCCTCGGTCGTATTGCTGTTACTCTTTGCAGGAGGAACCTGAGTGCTTGGATCTAATTTGTTTCAACGCCGTTCCTTGGTTTAGGCCAAGCGGAGACCTGAAAGATATTTTCCCCGTGGAACTGAAGCTGGCCCCAGAATAGACGGAACATGGACGATCATCCCGATATTTGTTTGTTCTCTTAAATTCCTAGGCGGTCAAGCTGTTCAATGACCCTTTTCTTAATAGGATAAGGGTCAAATAGATTAAGATATTGAAGTCCAGCAACATCTTCAAAGTTTGCAGCGAGGTTCCGCCGATGACTCAGGTCATCAGCGCCTGCGAAAAGAAAGGCCAGTGGCAATGGGCTTTGCATTTGCTGCAGCAGATCCGTGGCAATCCAAAGCTGCGAGCAAGCGCAACCTGGCATCCATTGAGGTGTGGCTCTTTGGACGGGATTGGCCGGGCATAACAGGTTTTTTTTTGGAACTTGCCCTCAGCCTTAGTCAATTAAATGGCTCAGGGGATCTCAAGCCATCCTTTTTGGATGTTACAAAAAAGGATGTTACATCGGCCATACGTTGCCACACCCTGCATCCAACTTTGAGCTGCGTCATTGAATGTCATGACCCTCAGGTGGTGTCGTTCAATGCCGCCATCAGTGCATGTGAAAAAGGAGGTGGGAGCGTTGAGCTCATGCAAGCGAGCAAAGTTGTTTTGTGTGGGTACGTTTACGTGGCCTCATATGTGAAGTCGTTTTTGTTGTAATACCATAGGGTCATGCAACATGTTCTATACTTTAAGTATCTTTAAGTTGGTATACCTTGATTATGTGACATACGCACTACTAGTGCTTATTAACTTTTTCATATATAGACGATTATAGATACAATACCCTTTAATGTTTAATTCATATGTATAAATGATTATAGATGTGTAATCATATATATATGACATTGTGAACATTCGCCACCCGCAGAGCACATCATTCGCATGTCGTTTGCATTCGCATTTTTTGGGCATTCCAAGGTGCTTGGGAATTCTCGCTGGAGCTGTTGCGTGAGATTAGCCTTGAGGTGCTGCCTCCCGCTGGGAGATCACCTTATTTTTGTGCGTATATGCAGCGTATCTCGAACTATAAATGAGATGTTCTCATATGTATGTATGTATGTATATATATATATACGTATATATATATATATATTTGTGTACATATTCTATTATACAATATATATTATACATATTTAACTTATTATACATATTTAACTATATGTACAATCGTTTATTTTGTATAAATGGACTCATCTACAATACCAGTATCTATCTATAATAACGATAATGACTCATCTATATTGTAGCTGTATATATATAAATATATTTGTATATATATGTATTTATATACATATACATATGTGTTTTGTATAAGTCATCTATAGTATCTTGAGGTACGAACATGACTCTATATGATACTATATATATACATGTAGACACAATACACTATGAGTTATTTAGCTTGTGAAAAACACATGTTTTTTAAAAGGTAAATATAGGTAACTCATCCAGGGATGGATCATGTTCCATATTTTAAATTACCGGAATTCTAATGATAAATGATAATTGCATATTACAATTGTACATGTACGTGTCTGTATATATATATATATATGATCACCCTGGAGTAGATAATACATGTTTGTTGAACCAAAACCACCCAATAAAATGATCATGTTTGAAAGTCACATATTCTATTTGATATATTCCAGGATGTTATTTATGGATAGATTATAGTAACCTCACCGCGACATCACTGGAATGACTTGTTTTGGGGCAAGGAAACCTTGGTTATTCTGCAACAAGCAGACAGTAGCTGTGAAATCAGTCATCCCCAAAAAAGTAATGAACAGAGCCTTGGTTCCATGGTTTCCGACTTTGCTTTCCTGGCTATCCGACTGGGTTCCAGCCGGGCAAAAAAACGGCCGACTTCTCCTTTGGAACTGGACTCATGTTCAACGGCGGCCTTGACCCGGCACCCTCACATGGCATTACAGTATCATACCATCATATCTCATTGGGTTTAATGGAAAGAACTGCATGATCCTTCCTCCTGTTTGATAGGAAACATCATGGTTTCCTCTAAGTTTTCCCTTCAACTAATCCATGGAATATCATAGGATAGATTGTCATGGTTGGGATGGCTGGGTTATGGGAGATTGTAGCACAAAACCCCTTGAATTGGACTTCATTTTTTAAAGACAAGTCAGCTAGTTTCGTGCATTCCCATGAGCCAACCCATTTCTTGTACCCTCTGGTAGTTTCACATGGCCTGGAAAATCCAGCATGTTAGATCCATTTCGTTTGATCATTTTTTGAGCGAAACCTCCATGGCACCGGAGCCCACCGGGTCTGCAGACTCGGCCGGACATCACCAGCTTCAACGGAGCCATCAGCGCTGCAGCCAGTGGACGGAGTTGGCAGGTTACTCGGGCGCCAGAACAACGGACAGCGTGGGTAAAATACATAATATATATATATATACATATATATAGATATAGATATACATATATATATAAACATATATCTATATATAGATATATACATATATATATGTAAAAATATATATATATATATATAAACAACATTTATATACAATGTTGGATCCTGATTAGTGTGGGGACCTCCCCCCCCCAAACAATTCAAGGAGCCTCTTTAGTGTGGAAATTTTCAAACGCACGGGTCTGAATAGTGTAAAATCAAAAAAATGATAGATGTCAATTGGTTTCAATTTACTTTCAATTGATTTTCAATTGATTTCAAACGACTTTCAATTTATTTTCAATTTACTTTGAATTGATTTCAATTGATTTTCAAGTGATTTTCAATTTACTTTGAATTGATTTCAATTGATTTTCAATTGATTTCAATTGATTTTCAATTGATTTCAAACGACTTTCGATTTATTTTCAATTTACTTTCAATTGATTTCAATTGATTTCAATTTATTTTCAATTGATTTCAATTTACTTTCAATTTACTTCAATTGATTTCAATTTACTTTCAATTGATTTCAATTTACTTTCAATTGATTTCAAATTCAATTTATGTTCAGTTGATTTCAATTTAGATAGTTTGAATTTATTTTTAATTGATTTCAACTTACTTTCAATTGACATCCCATAGTAATCCCATAGACATATCATAGAAATATCATGGAAATCCCATAGGAATCCCACAGAAACCCCATAGAAAGATCATAGAAATAACATGGAATAGCATAGGAACCACAAATAAATCCCATAAGAACTCCCATAGTAATCCCATAGAAATATCATAGAAACATCATGGAAATACCTTGGAAATCCCACAGGAATCCAAAAGAAATCCCACAGGAATCCAATAGAAACCCAATAGAAACATCATAGAAGCATCATTGAAATACCATAGAAATCCCATAGGAATCCAATGGAAACCCTATAAGAATACCATAGAATTCCCTTAGCATCCCTTCAGAAATCCCATAGAAATCTTCTAGAAATATCATGGAAACATCATGGAAACCCCACAGGAATCCAATGGAAATCACATAGACATCCTTTTGAAACCCCATAGGAATCCCATAGAAATACCATCGACACCCCATAGAAATCCAATAGTAGTCCCAAAGAAATATCACATACATACCATGGAAATCCCACAGGAATCCAATAGAAACACCATAGAAATATCATAGAGCCACCATAGAAATTCCAAAGAAACCTCATGGAAATCACAAAGAAATACCAAAGAAATCCTCTAGAAATATCATAGAAGTACCATAGAAATCCTTTTCAAATCCCATAGGAATCTCATAGAATTTTCATAGGAATCATTTAGAATTATGATAGAAATATCATGGAAATCCCATAGGAACCCCACAGAAATCCAATCCCATAGAAAGATCATAGATATATATATATATAACATGGAACTAGCATAAGAACCACAAATCCCATAAGAATCTCATAGAATTCCTTTAGGAATCCCATAGAAATATCATAGAAGCTTCATGGAACTCCCATAGCAATGCCATAGGAATCCCATAGGAATCCCAAAGATATCCCATAGAAACATCATAGAAATACCATAGAAATCCCATAGGAACCCAATGGAAATCCCATAAGAATACCATAGAATTCCCATAGCATCCCTTCAGAAATATCATGGAAATATCATAGAAACATCATGGAAGTTCCATAGGAATGCTATAGGAACCCCATAGAAATCCAATAGTAACTCCATAGAAATATCATAGAAATCCAATAGAAATTTCATGCAAATCCCACAGAAATCACATAGAAAAAACATAGAAATACCATAGAGGTTCCAAAGAAATCTGATAGAAATCCAATGGAAATCCCATAGGCACCCTCTGAAATCCCAGAGAAATTCCAAACCATGGAAATCCCATAGAAATCACACAGAAATCCCATAGTAATCCCATAGAAATATCATAGAAATCTAAAAGAAATACCATGGAAATCCCAAAGAAATCCCACATGAATCCAATGGAAATCCCATAGGCATCCTTTTGAACCCCCATAGGAATCACATAGAAATACCAGTGACACCCCATAGAAATCCCTTAGTAATCCTATAGAAATATCAAAGAACTACCATGCAAACCTTAAGGAATCCCAATAGAAATCCCATAGAAATATCATAGAACCACCATAGAAATCCCAAAGAAACATCATGGACACCACATAGAATTCCCAAAGAAACCATCTAGAAATACCAGATATATTTTTTAAAATCCCATAGTAATCTCATAGAAATACCATAGAAATCCAAAAGAAATATCATGTACACCCCAAAGAACCCCCATAGAAATACCACAGAAACACCATAGGAATCCAAAGGAAATCCCATAGACACCCTTTTGAAACCCCATGGGAATCCCACAGAACTACCATAGACACACCTCTAGAAACACCATAGAATATCATAGAAACACCATAGAAATTACATAGAATTTCCATAAAAAGAATTGTCTAAATCCCATAGAAACGCCACAGAAACCAAGGAGAGGATGCCAGGAGAATTGAACTAAGTAAGAGACAAAAGCTATAGGAAAGGAAGAGGAAAGGAGAGAATTATTTTGGGAAAAAAATATTTCCAAAAAAAAGCTGGACACAATAGAGGATCACCACAACAAACATACTATTGAGGATTTGGTTTGCTCATGGACTACCCACTTGAAAAATTGTTTGGATGCTGTTTTTTTTTTAATTGGGTTTTAATAAGGCATCCTGTATTTTGGGAAATTAAGCATTTTGAGAATTCCAAAAGAATGTAGCTAAGAAAGTAAAAAAGAGAAAAGTATTAGCAAAGGAAAGGAAAAGGAAAGGAGAGAATGATTTTGGAAAAAAAATGCATCCAAAAAAAAAGCTGGACACAATAGAGGACCACCACAACAAACATATTATTTTAGGATCAATATTGCTCATGAAAAAAAAACGAAAAAATGGAAATAAACATTTCTTCAGACAACAGTTGGACACAATAGAGGACCACCACAACAAACATAAACAATTGAAATAAATTAATTAAACAACAAATTAAAAAGTAATTAACAATTTATATAAATTAAAAAATAAATAAATAAATCTGAAAAAAATACACCAAAAAAACACAAAACCGACCAACCCAATCAATTTCCCTGGGTCTGAACAATTTAAAAAAACAAAAATCCACAAAAGTGCCCCACCACACTAATCAGGATCCAACATTATATATATATACACATTTATATATCTATATATATATACACATTTATATATATATATATGCATATGTATATATATATGCATTTATATATGTATATATACTGGACAACTCCCCATGTTTATACATGTCCAAATGCTCCATGTATGCGAATATTTACCTTCAACATGAAAAATCGGACAGAAAGGCAGACAAAGAGACAGACGGAAGTTAGAGAAAGATAGAGCTGGAAGACCTTCAATAGGAGGTACCCTCTGGTAATTTAACATAGCTATTGAAAATGACCATAGAAATAGTGAATTTTCCCATAAAAAATGGTGGATCTTTCCAGTTCGCTATGTTAAATTACCAGAGGGTAAGGATGGGATTACCAGGCCATTCCTTGACGTTCCACTTCCGAGGTCTCTTTGGACCTGTTTCGTCGCGCAACAGGATGGGCAGCCAAACAAACTTCCCAGACAAAAATGGCAGGGAGAGCCATCCCCCCCCCCAAAAAAAAACAAATTTGCAGATAGCCGAATTCCTATTACTTTCCAAGACTTGCTGGGAAATCTTACAGCAGATGTATTTGCTAAAAGATGCTAAAAGCGTTGTCTCCGTATGTTTGTTCACCCAGATGCTGTTCCATTATTGGTGAGTTCCTCCTTCAGATTTTTGGGTCAAATCCTAGCTTTTGGCCGGCCCAGCAACCAAACATGGCGAACATCCACCATTTACAGATGATTTTCCCATTAGAATCCCCATTTAGTGGATTTTCCCATATTTACCTATATGATTTTCCTATATTTTCCCATGTTTTTCTCCACATTTTCACCATGGTTTGGAGCCGAGCTTCCTGAGCTCGCCACGTTTGATAACCAGCGCCACTGCAGGAGCAGACCTGGTTCCTGATTTGGTGACCTATGGCGCAGCAGTGGCAGCCAGCGAGGCCAACTAAAGAGTAGGCCATGAAGGGAGCCATATAGGGATAATTGGTCATAATTATATACACGTATATAAAGTATGATACATATATGTATATATAATATGAGACAGTCAATGACTTTGGTATTTTGAGATGTTTGATCTTATGATATATGCATATAATGTATTACAATGTAATATGCATATATATATATATATACACATACTTATATGTATACATATTGTATATATTTGAATTGATATGAGGCACGTTTTACCACCAAAAACTACCCTTCGAACATCTTGGTTGCTCCAAGGGAGACATCTCAGGCGGCGGGGCGTTGGACATTGGCCCTACAGATCTTAGACGATGCCAAGGCTTCGGGTACCGTACCCTCTGGTAAACAGACAAAAAACTATGGAAAGATCCACCATTTTTCATGGGAAAATCAACTATTTCTATGGCCATGTTCAATAGCTATGTTAAATTACCAGAGGGTATTTTCCAAGAATAGGGGTACAAGCAAGAATATCCAAGCAGACTTGAGGACTCATTGTATAGACTTTTTTGGTTATTTTGGCCAACAGCTGCATTGATGAAGCCCCAAATATTCAACAAGATGTGGCAATGACATTGGCGTATGTAAGTCGTCACGACAATGACATGAAATCAAAAAATGACCACCGGGAAGGATTTGGGTCTCTCAAAAAATGGCCAGCGCAGAGAATGAGGCAGCGCACATCCAACTGAACGACATCGTTTGCAATGCAGCCATCAGCGCATGCGAGAAAGGCGGTTGCGTAACCTTTGGTAGTCATTGAAGCCAGGACTGGTTCGCAGAGGGGCTGAAGAGTATAACATTCATTCATGTTTTCAACTTCTAGTCTTAAAAACATTGACTACTTTATCCACTCCTAAGGAAGGCCCTGTGGCTTGTAAATGCTTCACAATCCTCCACACCTTGTTTGCTTTCTTTCACCTTGCTTGGGCACTTCCTTCTACTATTTACCTGCCATATGTAGGTAGTACCATGGTCTTGGCTCCTCCGAAATCCCTACTGACAAGCAGAATGCCAGGCAGCACCTGGCCAATGGCGATACTGCTCCTGGATCAGATGGTTTCGTCAGCAGTGGAGGTGGTTGTGTCGTTGGGTTTCTGACCTAAAAAATCAGCACTCCTCTATATATATATATATTTATTTATTGTTTTCAAGTTCTCTTAATGATAAGTGATTAGGCCAAACTCAATGGCTTGATTTGTTCATTACTTTTTTGCAGAAGTAAACTCAACAGAATAAATTAGTTGCAGCAGAAAATCGAGCCCCACTTCGAAGAAGAGCTGCAGCTGAAGCTATAGAATTTGAGAGAAACCTTCAATACTCTAATGATTTCAATTCCAAAATGCCAAAAACATCCAAAAACTACTTAAAAAAGACCAATGTTGAATGATGTTTGGGGATCCCAGTTTTCATAAACCTTCGTTTGTGGTACTCCGGGTGCTGGCAAAACTATTTAGAATTCCTGATCAGAATTCGTTGTAATTCAACATAATTCAACCCCCAAGTCGATGTTTTGGGCCCTTAAATAGGTGACATGTTTTGGTCCACCAATTCCCCGTGCAGAATTTCTTTCAGGATCTGATGCCCCTGCCACGTTTGCACGTTTGGTCAGGCCACACTCATCTCCTTCAACGCAGCCATGAGCTCCCCATGCTGGGATGGGGTTGGATCCATGAAGAATATCCATAAGTTTGTGTGTTAAGGGGATGTATTACCATCTGGTTATGACTAACAGTTCGCCATGGTATAGATGGCCCTAATCGAAATAGATGGTTTACCTATTGTAATGGTTGTTTTCCATGGCTATGTTAAATTACCAGAGGGTATTTCGAAATCGTACCAGGGATTTGTGCTCAAGAATTCACAAGGATGTTCTTGCAAAGGGCTGAAACCTATCATGCTTCGCCATACTTCCATTTATCAGGTATCAATGAACAAGTGTTCGTTCAACTATTTTCTGGGGACAGGGGCCAACTGTTCGTCCTTTTGCAACCAATGGTCCCAAGTAAACATCTTTTAGGAATGAAGTGAAGGTACTCTAAGAGCTGTTTCCTCAAGATCTGGGGCCCTCAAAACGGCTTGGGATCCAAGTAAAGACATGGTGGACTCCTTGGGTTCTTTTAACAAAAAAGAGTCAAAGATAGTTTTCCGTATGCAGTATCCTGATATATCCTGATTCTTTTCTCACTATGTTCTTTTCATCCAGGAATTGGATCGGTCGTCCACGTGGGTCTTTGATGGACTTATGAAAAAAAAGGTTGAAACCAGTTTTTGAGGTGCCTGCGTGCAGTGCTTCAATTGGTGTGCTGCTTTGCAGCTGTTTGTACCTTGGATGCTCCAACCCAAGAGAGCATACCACTACAGCGGCACTTGGGCCCGCTGCGACATGCCGGTGTTTCGTATCAGCAACAGGGAATCCATGGATTTTCAACGAAATAGTTGTACAGTAATTGAATTGTCATTTCGGATTTATTTGGGGCGGGTGGATTTCCACATATTTATATCGGGAGAAGGATTTCACCGACATTTCCATCCCAACAAATTCTTTACCGATGAGATCCAATGGCTAGAACCTACATATCACGTATCCCTCATTCATTTACCATTTGTTTGTTCATTTATCCATTCATTTATTCTTTCATTCATTCCTCATTCACTCACTCGCTCACTCACTCACTCACTCCCTCGCTCGCTCACTCACTTATTTATGCATGCATGCATTATGGCATTAATTCATTCATGCCTGCATATATCGTATCGTATCCATATATCATATTCTATCATCATATGTCTGTTTTATATACCGTTACAATCCGTTACATATATAATATGTTTGTATATGAAATTTGATGTATCATACTGTTACAATATATTCTTTATTATCATACATATGTTTATAATTTCAGAGTCCTACATGATAGATATGATATGATTTCCATATGTTAACCCCAGTCATCTACACCCCACGTGTCTTTTTCCAAGGTGGACGTTCTTGCACCCGGCCTGGGGCTGCGTGCCGATGCCTTCAGTCTCAACGCTGCGATCATGGCCTGCGCGCGGGGTGCGGCGATGGACATCCGCTGGGGAAACGGAGGATTTTTCACCAGAAAAGGGGGTATACCAACTATGATAGGGATAGGGGATATATAATATAATATATATATATATATAATATAATATATATATATATATATATATGATATATATATATATATGGGAAGATGCAATTGTATATTTAAATATTTTTTATATATGACAACATATTTTGCAACATAGCATTAAACCACCAATCAGTAAAGACATGGCTAGTGCATTGTACATCATAGGGGAAATTTGTTGATTCAAGGTTTACAGCAACAGATATGACCAAGACGGTAAGATGTGATAAAATGATGTAGAATATGACTGAATATGATCGGCGTGGCAGAGTCCAGAAGCAATTATTCACATTTCCCTGATGAGGAGCAAATACTCTTGACACATGAGACACCAAGATAAACAGATCCGTGACTCAACTGTGATGTCTGGAGGGTTTGCCGTGTCCGAGAAGGGACCAGCTCTGGGCAAAGTTGCTAGTGGAGCAAAATGTTTGACCATCATCAGTACATTCGTCGGTCCGGGGGGATGTAACGTTGATTCAACTCCAGCAGTCCTTCGCTGAGAGGTCGCCAATGGGAGCACGCGCTCGCACTGGTCCTAGACTTCGGGGAGACGCTTGGACGACTCACACTGGATGGGGCCCAACAGACATGGATTTCAAAGACTAGTCTTCAAGCCTGACAGTTGACATAACCATGTTTCTTTTGTGGGAGTCTCTCTCGTGTTTTTTAGAAAGGGTGCTCAATTTTGATCATGTGACCGTATTGAAAGATCCAAAGGTTCCGGAATCATGGAATTTGGATTCGTGGGTTCATCTGCCAAACATTAGCCTCCAGGAGAAAAGTACCATACACAGGGATCTAAGATCAGATCGTAAAAATATTTTGAGTGCATTTGAAAATACAGAGCCCAAGTCAAGTTCTTTATAGTCTCATTTTCCCATTAAAATAGCAGGATGTTTTTATCGCCCATGTAAATCGAGACACCTGGCTGGCCATATCCATCAAATTTCATGGGTCAATTCCTACATAAACACTGTGCCAAACAGTGGAAACCCAGAATGGTACCGATCATATATATATATATATATTATATATATGTTTCCACATGATTCCAGGTTTCCGGTTTCCAACTTTTCGGCATTTCTTTGAGGCTTGCATATCCATGTCAGTGGTAAGACCATGCAAATCAAGAGTCGTTGCATGTTCTGTTTAAATCATGTTTGAACCTCCAGTTTTGTGAGGGTTTAATGCCCATTTCTCTTCATAATGGCCACTTCAGGTACCTAACTTGGAGGTACCTACCATAGATAAGGCCTATGCAAGGAGTATCAGGGGATATACCCCAAGTTGTATGGTTTTATATCGGTTCTATGGCACACTAACTACCCCTATTTTAGGGTCCTGAAATTCCGATCATCTTTGTTCATGCCTTGGAGGGTCATCCCAATCGTGGGCACCATAGGGCACCCCTGGTGCTCATAAGTCCCCGAGTCGCGTGTATCATCTGATTACCCTCTGGTAAACGTTTACATAACTGTGGAAAGATCCACCATTTTTAATGGGGAAACTCACTATTTTTATGGCCATTTTCAATAGCAAACTGTTAAATTACCAGAGGGTATCCCAAATGAGTGAGTTTAACTATGGCAACTATGGTTAGCAATCCCTTCCCCCTAGTAGTATAAGCACCCACCAACCATGATTTAGTAGGGATTTGTTTATGAATTTCCAGCTATTGAAAATGGCCATAGAAATAGTTGATTTATCCATAGAAAAAATGGTGGATCTTTCCAGTTCGCTATGTTAAACCATCTATGGCTTTTTCTGGCTGTGTTTCCCTATTGAGGTCAGACGTGCCCACCCTAGATGCCCTTGCCTGGAAGCTTCCAGCCCGCCAGCGGCTGGCGCTGATGCCGCGGCTGCAGCAGCATGCGGTGGGGGATGGGTCGGATGGGTATATTCTTAAGTTAAAGATGTTTGGGTACCCCAAATAGATGTTATTCTTAAGATTATGGATGCCCCACATAGATCTTACGGACCTTAAGATGTTGATAAGTTGTTATTCTTCAGACCTCATACTGCCGGTATAAGATTTAAGTAGGATCTAATTGAATTTGGTTGATATGACATTGATTTGATTGGATGAAAACCAACCCTTCATAGTGGGGATTGAAGCACAAAGATTGGATAGAATGGTGGTTTTTGGTGGTGACGACGCAGGGGATATTCCGAATCGAGGCCCAATATATGCGGCAAAAATATGCAAAAATCACATATCATAAGCAATGACGGTCTGGCCACTTACATACTTTACCAAGGTGGCTTAGCCAACATTAGGATGGCTGACGGTGATTGGACGTCACCAAAATATGGGAAGTTCACCTGTGAAAAACTGGTGCACCCAGAGCTTTCGAGAAGACGAGAAGGGGTGATGCTCTTCCAAAAAGCTGCACTTGTAAAGGGTTGATCATGTAACATAGCGATTCCCAGTAGAAGGATAGAAGATTGAAACGTTGGAAACCTGGAAATTGTTTTTGACACATCATCTACAACACCCTGGAAAAATCCAGCTCTATCTTTTTTGGGACCCCCATATCTAGCAAGGTCGGTTTCCGAAAAGTGGCTTTGTGAGCCAGGATGCTCTACTTAGTTTGCCAGAGCAAGATCGTTTTTTGTTTGTGTTCCCAAATCCGCTAGCCTGATCAATTGTATTTGGTCTCAATCAAAGTCCACCTCATTCGGATATAATATATATATATACATACATAATATATATATATACGCAATTCACCTCGTCATTCGGATATAATGATATGTATGTATGTATATATATATATGCACAGTAATTCTATTTTTGGCTTTTGGACACCCTTGCAAATCCAGCGCAGTCAACAATCCATATTTTTCTGGTGACCATCCAATCCATCTTTGATCAAGTCGCAGGGAATGGTGGGAATGGTTTCCAGACTTGGAGGTTTCCTAAAATGAAATTACCCCCAATGGCCCAAATCATCCATTCGAACAGGATTTTCCATTCATTTTACCATGAAAAAAAACAAGGTTACCCCCATTTGTGGAACCCCCCATTTGTTAGCATGTCCCTCCTCTACCACTTCAGCTTGTTGGAACAACTTCCTCAGTCTCGCAGGTTTTGCTTTGCCACTCAGCCGCCTTAAAAACAAAAAAAGAGCTGCGGCAGTCGGTGGATTTTGTGGATCCGGGTAAAGCCTGGAAATCAGCAGATGGATATATATGGTGGGTAAGAATCTATAAGAATCTTATGTGTATATATGTATATATGTCCAAAAAAAAAACTGCCGCCTGATTTTGATAAATTTGGGACATGCTGATATGTCTGAGCGAAGCTTCAGCTTTTCTTTCTGTCAGCGGGGTACAAATTAGGGTAACCTCACCGGCCTCACGAGTTGAAAATGCCAGAATCATACACGGCTTGCAGAGCTCGCTGGCTGACACACTGTCTCTGGGGAGCCGGGCCGCTGGCTCGCCTTCAGTCACTGAACTCTTGGAGAGGGCGATGGAGAGAGAGAGAGAGATACCCCAAAGTATCCCAAAATCATCCAAAATCACAAAGAGAAAGTATGTCAGTTTGTTTGTAGCTTGTTGTTTGAAAGATTTTGTACAGCAAGATAAAGTAATTAGATGCAATAAGTATTAATAAGCATTAACAAGCCTTAATAAGCTTCAATGCTGCTTCATGCGCGATCGAAATTGAAGCACCAGTTGCGTTCCACCAGAGACTCCTGCGAACCGCAGCTCTCAGCCCTTGCCGGGCAGCCGCAAAACTTTCCTTTGCTGCGTGCAGTTTGTTCCCCTGCAGTAGTGAAATGCTATATAATGGCATATATATATAAATGTATAGATTCACTAGGTAGAGTCATAAGAGAGCTCATGGGTTCTGAACCTTAATTAATTGGATGTTACACACACATATATATATATATTACACCCAAAATGCCCAACATGCCCAACGACCTCGCTGTGTGGCGGTGAATTATAGTCATATTTCCTGTCAGAAAGGGAATGCTGTGGAAGGTTCTTCGAAACCAATGGCAGACCAACCACTACTTTGATATCGGAAGTTGTTACCCAGGTCCAATCTTTGGGATATCGGAAGCAGCAGCAGCCTCCAAGGCCAGGCCTTAGGACCTTAGGACTTCAGACCTTCCCATGGCAGGCCGCAAGTCTGTGTTGAAGAGTCGCGTTCCGGGAACATGTGGGGTGCCCATTCGGCCGATTTGGAGGGCTGAGGGATGGACTATAGCAATGTGCTGCGCCATCGGCTGCCATGGTTAGCGAAGTTGATAAACATAGTGACTGGTAGCTAGGCTAATTTGTGTTTATGATAGATATAATTACCTATAGTATATCTATAGTATATCTATAGTATAACTATAGTATATCTATAGTATATATCTATAGTATATCTATAGTTTATGATGGTTACAAGCAAATTTTATGATTAAGGGGCACATGGGGCACCACCAGGGCAGTTCTTTGATGATCTTTTGGGCAACTCCGATCGACTGCGTTTTTGGCGTTTTTTTGTGGAGTCCCGTGGGTACCATTGGGTACCATGGCCCCAAACAGTGGTAAAAGTACTAAGATTATGGGATGAAACACTATGTTGAAGGGTACTTGAAGGGTTATATATATATATATAATTATATATACATTGCATATAATATATATATATATAATATATATATATATATGTATAGTTTAAATTAGTTTAAAGATATATATATATATATGCATAACTTGTAACCCCGAATGGGCGACTTGCAATGAAGCAAGCGTACCACAACACAACAGCAGCCTGTGATGCTGATACCATCAGTCTCCATCAGGGGTCCCGTTCCAGCCTCCCAGGGTCCTGCCGAGGTTCATCGTTTTCCGACTCCGGTGAATCAGACGATGCAGAAAAAGCTGGGTGTGAAGGCTACCTGGCTACCTCCGACCCTGCTGCAGTGGCTGCAGATCATCCCAAACAGATCCGCAATGGATGGGGGCATACCCAATAGTAACCCCACGTTTCTGTGGCATAATTTCTGTGATTTACCACGTTTGTCGTGAGGAACACTGTATGCAATGCCCTCTCATAATTTAAGGTAGCTATGGAAAACGGCTCATTTATAGATGTTTTACCTTTAAAAAATGTGATTTCCCTTAGCAATATCAAATTGTAAGGCTCGAATTAAGGCTTAAGGATGTGCATGTTCAATCGGTAGACATCACTGGCTGTCTCTTTGAAACAAATTTGCCCAGGAGATTCTCGGAGTCCTTATGGCTCAGCTACCCCCCTCTCTCCTGTGTAAATTTGATGGTATGATACGTGCTAGAAATGTGCAGTCGTTGAGTTGTTGTGGTTTTTCCATCTGCAGGTCAATGGATTGGTTTAAGGGAAAATTCACAAGAAACCATGTTTTATGTTTTTTGTCCCGTGAAATACGGTGGTTTTTCCTGCAAATTGTCCCGTAAACCAATGCAATGAATAGGGGATTTCCGATCGCATTTCCGCCGCGCCAGGCGATCTCACCCCCAGCAGCCGGAGGCTAGTGGTTAAGCCATGGTGAAAAAGGGGATCCCCGGTGACGACTGAGAAAGCTCCAGCCATGGCAATTGCAATGGTGTTTTTGCTGATGGTGTTTAACCATCAAAAATGGTGCATTTTCCAGTTCAAACCTGGCGAAAAGTCGCAAATGGTGATATATTTCATGAAATATTGATTGGAATATAGTAATGATAATGGAATATGACTGAATATAGTAATATACTTGGATTTTATGAAGATATTTTCTTTTGGAATTTTCCCATGGGAAATCCACTACTTGGGGAATCGAAAAGGGAATTGTTGGTTATTTTTGGGTGGTCCTGAAGCATACCTATACTACCGTTGCCATCAAGCACAGCACTTGGACATCCAGATGATTTTCCACAACGGTTCGGTTCCTCCAGATTTACAGAGGAGTTTCTAGCCACGGTTGAATTACCCTCTGGTAAACTAACAGTTTGCTATTGAAAATTGCCATTTATAGTAGATGTTCCCATTAAAAATGGTGATTTTCCATAGTTATGTTAGTTTACCAGAGGTAACCAACCGTATAGAATGAGACTATGCTTCGGATGCCTTCTGGAATTTCACAGTTTGCCATGGAAAGGTTTGTCGCTGTTTGTAGGTGAATTACCGAAAGGAAACATGGCCGTTTGCGGTGGCAATGTGAAATTCTTCTATAAATGGGAATCACAATTTTTGAATATCGTTGACAGTTTATAGGTAAATCATGGTAAAGCATGGTAAATCATGGTAAAACATCACAAATCAGTGGAACCCTGAAACTGGGAACATTTGAACCGTGAAAATGAAGAATCCTACTTCGGGGTTGAACATGGACCAAGATAATAATAATACATCATACTCAATCGTCAGTTAGTTATGGTTACTTGGTCATGACTTAGGACTTAGGATGGTTGATATGTATATATATTTAATATTTAATAGAATGATTGATTGGTTTGAATGCGTCTTTCATTGTGTATCCCAGGTGAGGGGGTTAGGTCATCCAAGTCCACCAGTGTTCGAAGTGTTTGACGCTCGGACTCTTCGTTCATTTTTTGGGGCCGCTTAAGATCTTAAGCAACTCCAAGGGTCCAGCATCCTGGTGGGACACTGTTGGCGACGCCATGAAAAGCACGCCAGTTCCGTGGCAGGTGTGAGACTGCGACACCAACAAGCCCACCAGTGGCCATGAAAGAACCCTCCTCCAGCATGCGCCACTCGGCTCCGCTGGAAGAATCTGAACGCCCAGATTCGGGATCCCCAGTGTCAGTGAGCGATGTTTATCACTTAAAAGGACCCATCAGTTGATTTGAATGGGAACATGGAAAATGAATGAAAATGAATGAAAATGAGAACTGTCGGTTCCAGGTGTCAAAATAATCCATGTGGCAACAAGAGTCCGCGCTACTCCCCCCCGTAGTGCCCCACTATCCGGATTATCCGGTCATATTCCCGAGTTCCTGTGGCTTTTAATTACCATAGAGCTAGACGCTGTCATGATCATCATGGGGTCATTAGTGGTTTTCTTGCTGACTTAAACGGACAGTGTCATAGGTTTCGTCATTTTGCATCGTGTTACAAACAGGCCCAGGGCTATAATATATATATATATAGCCAATGCTGGCCCCCGCCCAATTCACTTGTGCCGGAATTGGAGGATGGAATGGGAAAAATCAAAGGAACAGTTGGAACGAAAGTGAATCCATGTATGTTTTGGGAATACCTTATGATATCTTATGTCTTTGGGGAAGACTAAAAGGACCAAGATAAGGAACCACAAAAGGAACCCGGCCAGAGAAAAATCCGAGGTCAAGCACTGGTGGAAGCCCTTGAGGGGAGAATGCCAAGTGCTGAGGCTCCTTTTGCGACCTGTTTTTCCAATGTTTTCCATTCTGGAAGGTCGAAGATCCCAAAGAGGGGCTTGGGTTTGATGTTCTTATAGTGGATATGGTTGGATATGGTTGGATATGGTTGGATATGGTTGATGGTTAAATGCCTATTTTGGATCGATGGATATGGTTGATAGTGTTTTCTCTGGTTTCCATCTTAGTTTCTGGAGCTTACGGTTTGGCAGCCGAGCGCGTCCACCCCCCCCTAATATTTAGTGGGGTATTTACACAGATTTGATACCATTTGCTGCAAGGGGTGTTTTCTTTTGATGTTCATCAAGTTCCGTAGTCGCCTGGTTTTCTTGCACATGTCATATCATATCATTCGGGTTGAGATTGCTGACCATGAACAGATCTTTAGACAATCTGCATTCGCCAGTAGTACCACCTTAAATTCCAATCACATCCCAATAAGTTCCATTAATATGCCATGACTATTCCATTCATATCCCATCAAATTCCAATAATTTCCCATCTTTTTATATCTTTTTGGCATCCCAGGCCCCAGGCCTGCTATCCCTGGATATCCCTGGTATTCACCGCACCTTAGCTCGTCCCCACCCAACGTCGTTGCTCAACGTCGCCTTGGCGTCGCCAACGCAACGTCTGCCGTCGCCAGGTGCAAAAAATGATGCGCGATCCGCAGGGCTCCCGGCTATTAGTGCAGCACCTGTCTGTCAAGCCGAAGGCGGGTGGGAGGGGCTGGTGTCTTTGTTCGGTGTTTCCACTGGGGGAAGTGGGTTGTTTTACCCACATATAACGGATATATGATATGCAAACACACACACATATATATATATATATGTATATATATATACATAACCCACGTTATAACAACTGGGATCATCATGATGATGAAGTAACGAACCACTTTCTAAGTAGGATATATCGTTTGGCAAGTACACCATTTAAGCCATTGTGACTCGTTTTGATTCACTTTGTAGATGGCACTGCTCGTGAGCTTGGAATTCTTCACTGTCATGTTTTTTTGTCTTGGATCACAGGAGGAGACATGAGGGTACATGAAGCGTACTCTCCACTATACTCTGGCAGGTGTTGTGTTTGGTGGCCAGCAGGAACCCTGATCAAATTTGTACCCTCTGGTAATTTAACATAGCTATTGAAAATTGCCATTTATAGTGGATTTTCCATTAAGAATGGTGATTTTCCATAGTTTTTTGTATGTTTACCAGAGGGTACACTTTCTTTTCGGGCAGTCAACAGAACCCATCACAAAAATATGGGCCGCAGGAGGCATTGCTGGGCGCAGTACTGCAGAAGTTCGTGCGTTTGGCATGTCGATGCCTCAGTGGGAAATGGGCGTTTGACAACGTTTAAATGGGAAAGTCATTGAACTAAAGCAGGAATTGTCCATTGCCATGTTTGACTAGGGTACATGCAACTAACAGTTGCTGTCACAGTGTTTCCAAGTGGAAGATGATGTCTTTTTGTTCTGATGTGGGATGTTCAGACATTAAGCCGGCCAATGTAGCAAACCCAACCTTTTGCAACCGTCAAATGGGGATTGCCAATTTACCCTCTGGTTATGTCAAAATAGCTATTGAAAATGGCCATTTATAGTGGATTTTCCCATATAAAATGGTGATTTTCCATAGCTATGTTAAATTACCAGAGGGTATACATCTTTCGGGCAAAATTTGGGTTATGCTTTGGGGTTTTCCCGATTATCCGTTGGCAAATTAAGAGTTTGCGGTAGAAAAGTACCATTTTCTGATAGGGAATCATCGAACTAATGTGCCATCTATATCATCATACAGCTATAACAAACTATTTCATAGTGATGAAATAAGTCAAATAAATAAATACATGGAATTCATATGCTTGAAGCCATAGGTTTCCGTTTTTTAGAAAGATGCCTCTGGTAAAGTCTTACAGTTTGCAAAGTGGAAAGTCATCATTTTTTTGGAAAAGGTAAATCATCAACAATAGCAAAAAACTGATGACTTTCCACTACCATAGCTGCTCGTTGATGATGATGACTTACCGTTACCCATAGCTGTTTCAACAAACCATCCATCAACGGGCCATCTATATACCATAGCAAAAACTGCTCGGAAAAAAACAGCTATGGGTAGCGGATGGTGAGAAATCCAACGGCCAGGTCACGAACATGCCTCGGCGGTCTTGTTGGAGTTGATGGAGGCGTGGTTGTTGGATATTCATGTGGGTAAAGCAATAAACCATCCCTAAGTTGACCATAAATGGGTAGTATAAACCATCAAAAATTGGCTGGCTCATTATTGGTTTTAAGCACATTAGGTAAAATTTGGTGCTGATGGATAGACATGGATCGATTGTGATAGTATGGCTTGGTCACTTGGTATGGATCATTTTCTTTGACCATCCATTTTTCGGTGAGCTGATGAGCAGCGACTTCCAGGGCGCAGATGAGCAGCTGGGCAACACATTCAGCAAAGTGTGCAGGGACGCTGTGCTCAAGCATCTTGGCACCAAGGAAACCACGGTTGGGCAGGGATACAGTTGGGAAATGGTCAATGAATGTTATTGAAGCATTGAAGCATTAATGTACCTGGGGTGTATCGCATGTTTTTTAGATGGTTTTTCATATCGTTCTTATCAACTTATATCATCCTGTATCCACCTAGCAACTAGGAGGGGCTTGTGGTTTGGAGAATGGAATGTGGTGTGGAACCTGATGCCTTCCGACATGTTTCAAAGATGATGGTCCGTTAGATGTAGCCCACTGATGGAACTCCCCTTCAATCCCATGGGTCATCGATGAATGTGTGTCCCTGTGCTGAGGGCTCACGGCACATATCACAGCCAGTTGGTTGTAGATCCTGTTCTTTCCCCATTACATCGTCAATGATATCCCTATGTTGGGTTGCAACACCCCAATTTTGGCCGGTTGATTTCCTCATTGAAAACCGCCACTTTCCGAAAGGCTAGCTCGGGACAAATTTGGCTGCCGGGTTTTGCAACGCGTTTTGGAGGCTCTTGAGTGAAGGGGTACTCTCTGACTGGTAACATACTTGGGGGTGCAGGACCCACCCCCAGTTATATATGGAATATCCCCACTTATGTGATTATATAATTATATATATATGGGTTATATTTGGATGAATTATAAACCACCTACTAAGTGGGATGCACATCCAAGTAAGTATGGTAAACCCATGCTAAACATACTGTATGGCAAACTATGGCATATACATACGTGTATATATATATATATGTGTAGAGTATGATCAACTAATGTCACAAGATAAACTATCCCATATGCTCCATGGTGCTGGAATATTTACCAACATTTGCCCGAACAAAATCACCCAGTTATGTAGGTAAATATACCAGCACCATGGATCCTATTGGTATGCTAAAACCCCAGCTGGTCCATCGTTGGCGCCAGTTTGAGACCATCCGAAAAGTAGGTAACCTCTGGAATCACACGAAAGAACAAGCATGGCGATGGAAAGTCCATGGAAATCCCATCAAATGCAGTAATCCGATGTAATTCGCAATATATATATATATAATATGTATATATATATATATAATTTATTAACATGTGTCAACATAACATAACCTGACATAGTATAATATAATATAATATAATATAATATGATATGATATGGGTAAACCCAATCATACACCATGTTTTTGGCATCCCCCGAGGTTCAGAAAAAAAAGGTCATGCTGTTCCATGACTATCGCCAGGTGGCCCCCAGGGGTGTGCAAAAGGATTTGGCTTTTGAGCTTGAAGGTGGGATGAGATGTGGAGATCATGCTATGGCTGCCGCTGAAGCCTGATTCGTTGAGCTCAAGGGATCCATAAGCCATGTCCTGATCCGAGGATCGATCCTTGTTGAGATCCTGAAAACATGCTTATCCCAGTCTTTGGTTTATTATGACATGATGGATATCCAAAGCAGTGTGGCGAAGTATTCAACCCGAGCACGGCAGGATCCATAAAGTCGGTCAAAGGGCACGTTCAGACCAAATATGCAGTCCCATCACATTCCATGTTGAGTTTTGATGATTTGTTTGTATGACTCGACTTTCCAGTGATGTGATGGCTCACCTAAGAAAAAACTAAGACAAGCATTTTGGATTCGTTCACTTTGCCGCAGTTGCAGGCGAAGTCTTCTCGTGCAGTTGCTTGGCTGCCAACATCAGGTTCAACCACTAGCAGCTTAAATAGAGTACAGTAATTTAACCATCCTTAACAATCCTGAACAATCCACAGTAGTGGTCACATCAAGTCAATTCAAACTTTGGGGTTCGGCTGGCGCCGAAACATGAGGCCAGTTCAAGTTTGTCACATGACCTGGCATTTGCCAGCAAAACACACTTGCAAGCGGGCGAAAGCGCCCTTCATGTTTGAGAGTTGTCCCGGAACGTCAAGTTCAGCCAGTACAACTTACAACATCTTACAAACATTAACAACTACGTATTCAACGTGGCCTTGCTATTTAGGAGTATTGCCCAACACTCCCCGTATAGCTAGGGAATACGCTAGCCGGCTCTTTGCTGGAAGCCAAGGCCGTCATATGCACGCCAACTTTGTGTTGCAGAAATGTGACTTGGTGCAGATTTGGATAGACTTGGGGGTTGTTCACTACCTGCGGCAGCATTCGATAGCTTGCCTCATCGTACAGACATCACCCATAGGATCCATGTATGGTATATATGCTAACATTTAGGCTATATTGATGGGATCCATGTTACCATATATACCATGGATCCTTTTTTTGATCCTATGGGTCATATCATTTGAATCCGGCACCAAAAATTCCTGTTGATATGTCACATATGGGTATGGGTCAATACCTATAGATACATTTTTAGTGGGATGAACATCCATTTACCAGCTATTTTGAGGTTCACTAGGTACCAGGGTTTTGACCCATCCCCATATGTCAAGTTCTTGTCATCACCCTTTCCAAAAACGCTGCGATGGAACTCGCGGGACATCAGGTGTGCAATTGCTACCGGCCACCGGGGTCGACTTCATCATCAAAGGAATGGAGGCCGTGGGGACGAGTTGAGCTAACGAAGTCACAAAGTTGGATAAAAAAAGTATGATATTAACTTATCTAGGCTTTATATGGCTTTATGTCATCCAAGATCTAGGCTTTATATGGCTTTATATGGCTTTATATGGCTTTATATGGCTTTATATGGCTTTATATGATATTAACTCCAATGTCATCCAATATCTAGGAATCTAGGCTTTATATGGCTTTATGGCAATCATAACTACATAGAATTATATGGAATATTATAGGCACATAGACTACTGACGTCATGGGGTTTATGGTCACCAACAAGATCCAACTGGAACGGCCCACCTTGTGGCATGGTACGACATATTTCTGTTGCGCATTGTTCTCGAGTCTATGCCTGAAGGCATATCATTTTATTTTGTCTTATACAGTATAATATAATATATATATAATATATATATAGAGAGAGAGAGAGTAATATAGAGATATAGTCCACTGTTTAGTCCCCAGACTTGTATGGATACCTACCTTGGAACATGAAAAATGACTTGTCACTAGCCAATAAGATGATAAATCCATTGTGGTGAGTATTTGGTCTTTGGCACCGCAGAACTAGCTGGTTGTACCATAAATTGAATGTTAATAGTATCATAGGATCAGACTTTCAATATCACTGGTCACTGGCATTCCTATCCTTGGTATGCAACGAGTGGTAGTGGGCCAATCATCAGGATCATTTCCAAATTAGCAATCAAAAAGTTACACTGTTACACTATATAGATATTGTATGTATAAGGGTATAATATATGTTACATACATATATATATATATCATCTTAAGATATCATTTTTTCAGATCAATAGTACCTTAAATCAATGACTTCTGCAACAGCTGATGAACCGGTGAAGAAAATCCTTGTGCTAGGCACATGCTGTTGAAGCAGCTCAACATCAGCAGCTCGGATGGGAGACACTGCCCCATCCTTCAAGAATCAGCTCGGAGGGTTTCTTAATGGATTTGAAGATGGTGATTATCATTTGAAGTTGTCATTTGTTCTCATGACTGAAAATTGCTAAAAAAAAATGTTTTCAAATGTCAAATGGATTTCAAGAACCTGAAACTTAGCATTTGATTAGTGAAGTTGTGGGAAACATGGTGATACTTCTCAACCCCTAGGTTTTTTGTTTAATGTGGGTTGCAGCAAACTGGCAGACAAAATCTTTATGAGGTTGACCAATGAATCCACTTTATCCGTCCGGAGCTGGCATTCTAGCTAGAAAAACATAGGGATTTGCATAGTACGCGCTCTACCACACAAAAAGGGGTGAGACTGATGAATGATTGTGACCAATTTCCAGACTCGTTGGTGTATTATGGTGATCATGTTTCTTCTCAGAAGTGCCAGTACCAGTCCCACAAAACAAAAGCTGTTGCACTTGCCAGACATGCTTGCAATGAAGCCTTTGTTCTCCCAACCAGGGAAGGGCGCAAGCCGCGACAGCGCACCTAGGTATAGCTGCAGGGTGCTTCAAAGATTAATTGAGCACTGCAGACACCAGAAGCTGCGCAAGCTCTTGGAAAATTTGTTGAATGAGGCCAGACGACCTGATCTGAGATTGACCTTTGACTCATGCTGTGGTATACCTAGGTTTGGCTTTGGAGAAAAACGAAAGAGAGAGAGAGAGAGAGAGATTTCTATTTTACCGCCTTCGGCGTGTTCCGCCGGCCACCATGGAAAGAGCTATCCTGTAAGCTGCAAACAGCCCTTGCACAGGCCCAGCAACAACATGGTTTTTGCTGTAGAACATGGTGTTATTTGTGGATAACACAACTTTTGTGTAAAACAGCTCTTTGTGTAAAAGAGGGTTTGGACGCAAAAACATTGGTTTTGTTCAAACCAGGGTTTTGGAAAAGGCCATATTGGGAAAGGCTTTGGAAAAGGCCATATTTAGAAAGGTTATGCGTGTAAAAGGTGTTTGGCACAAAAGCCAGTGGACCAAGTATTGGATATAAGAAGCGACGGAGCAAACCGATGGCAAACACAACGAAAAAACGGAAACAACCATCGAAATGACTTCAAGATGTGCAAAACCAAGCCGGTGTTGAGGGGCCATGGGCAGAGTTGAGCCCACCACAACGTAAGGAAAGATGAAAATGAAACGAAGAAGAGCTAGGGGGAGAGTTAGACGAGGCAAAAATCCGCGCCAAGGGGAAAGTCTAGACAAAGACAAAGACAAAACAGACAGTACAACTACGAGCAAGCAAGATCCACAAGACACGCCGGCAGGCCGGCGGATTTTGATTTCTCTTGCGTATACTAACCGTTTCTCCCCTGTTTGTTGGTTTGGGCTGGCTCCATTGACATGTTGGAACGACTCATATCACAGTAGTCCCGAATATGTGCGAACAAAGCTGAAGCATCAACCTATGCTGATGGGTCAACAGCTGTATGAGCCCATCGTTTTGGAACATGAAGATCCATCAACCACTGGCAAAAAGAAAACAGGCGGCCTTGGTGATATGACCCATCCGATATCATCCGATCCATGTCATGCGCAGGTGCCAAGATTGGTAAAGGACACCTATGGACATAATGTGATCAGGGCAGTGCCTTGGGCGTGACACCGACCTCACCATAGATGGTCATCCTCAGGGAATTGCCCTGAAACGTGAAATACCTTGGTGTGCAACGAATATAAAGCCCCAAAGATGGTAGAGGCCTTATTGATGGCTTATTACTCGCCATAAAGCGCCTTGGACTCCCAAATTTCGATGTGTTTTCGCACCGTGCTTCGGGTGCGTTGGATGTTCTAACGAAACATGGGTTCCATGTTTCGTTTGCGCTTGTCAACTTCACAAAATCTGAGGTTTTATCTTATGGTGAGCCCGATGACCAGCGAAGAATAATCCAGTATGTGCCATGGTTGCAAGGCTACGGCTGTGGGTATGGATAATAATGGATAATATATATACATCATATACTATATACATTGACATTATATACATTATATATTATGTATGCATTTTACTATATACAGATTATATATATTATATTAAAGGTATATATATATATATGTATGTTCATATATATTTTACATTATATACATATGCATTATATATTCTACAATTTTGATTTATTATATTTGTATTATTTGTTTATTATACATATATAGATACATTATATTGTATATATGTTTTGCATACTATATATATTTTACATATTATATATGATATATTATATATATTATCTCGAATAAATAATATATATAATATAATATATATATATATAACATTTCAATATTATCATTTTTTTATAATTATATATTATATTATATATCAAATGTTTTTTTTTTTAATATTGTGTATTTGTGTTATATATATATATATATTTATTTATTATATTTTCTATATATTCTATGACTAGTATAAATATATATATATTAGTGTATATATATATATTTATATTATATGTATGTTATATATATTGTATATATATATATATGTTATATATGCATATTATTGTGTATTTTATTATATACATATATTATTATATACATTTTGAAAAACATTCATATTATATATATATTCTATATATTATTTTTTATACTAAATATATTACTATATATACACATATTTATCCTATTATATTTATATATATACATGATATGTATAATATGTATGACTCAAAATTAGTGGCTCCCACTGGTCTCCTATGTTTCAGAGATCATTAACCAGCTAACTTCACTGTGAATCAGGAGAGTTGCACGTGAGGAACATTCGATTGCCAGTGCTTCATGTTGATAGCCATGTTCTGCAACTGCGCCTTTTTTAGTGTCAAACTATCTCCCCATTGTTTCATAAGTATCATACATCATAGATCATTAGAAATCACTACATAATATTACATAATATATTTGTATGTTTATATACCTATATATAGATAGATACTGTATGTATATATATATACACTATGTATTATATATATATATATCATATACCCAGAAGATATCTACATTATACATGACATGTAACCCATGGAAAAGGTAAGTATTTGCAGTACTTCGCCACCTAGCAGGTCCGCCTTAGGCGGTTACGCCTCACAGAACTGAGGTGCGCGGTCATATTTTGCAATCCGCGCGGAATCGGCAATCCAGTTTAGTCCTGGCCCGCGGATGGGGAGAGTTGTTGGATCTGTGGCACCTGTTGCTTGCCATAGCCCATAGATGTAGCAACCCCCATTTTGGGATGCCGGAAAGCTGTGAAAGAAGGATGGTAATTGGATGATGTGGATGATATTTTCCCCATTTTTTTGGTAGGTGTCCAACTTTTAGGCATCTTTTTGGGGGTTGCTATACATAGATATATGTGTATGATGCTTTCACCATAAGATGGTACTAATCCCTTCCACCATTCATAGGAAACAGCCCCAGAAACAACTACCATTTGGGGATGGTTTATACTAACATCTTATGGCATTGGATAATTTTGCGATTTGGTTTAGCTTATTCAATTCTACGGAACCTCTATTCAATGGCCATTTCAGGGGCCTAAAATGGAGGTACCTATATACCATATAATTATATAAGGCCTGCGGCCTATGTAAGTGCTAAATTTCAGGGCGTGCTCCTCACAAAGCTAAAACCAAAAAAATGACACAGTACCTCCACTTTTAGGATCTTGAAATTCCCACTGACCTATGGTTGCGGAACCCCTTCTGACTGGGCAGTTCCACTCCATCGGTGCGACAAGCCATCTGAAAACCATGGGTAATTGGAGATCGTCAACGAAAATAAAGGCAAGAACATCATGTTCTTGACACAAAAGGCATTGAAATGACCCAGCAACGACTTCAAGTTTGATAAATTACGGAAATCATGGGAAATCAAAAGTTCGATGAATTTTGGGTGAAGAACTTGAATGTGAAGGTGCTGCTCCGTGTCATGCCTTGGGCAGCCTTCCATTTCGTTCCTCAGACCTCAAATGTGCTCGTTACCCCTCCGCGCTATTTTGGGAGAATCCCAATGGACCAAATCAGATATGTTCCAGGTAAGTTGAAAACACCAACCAGCTGATTGAAATCGCCAGGAAAAGTGTCTTGACATCGCCACAGGAGAGTTGGAAGAGGACAGTGTTTCACACGGGCAAAGCATGGGGGGGAAAGAAATGATCAGATGCGCAGTTAGCTGATATCATCATACTTATCATCCTACAATTCAATAAACTAAGAATCATACTACTCATGATGCGGCTACTAAGAATGGACATAGTAGTCATAGCCATCATCATCATCATCATCATCATCATCACCAGCATCATCATCATCATCACCACCATCATCATCATCATCATCCTTGTCGTCATCGTCACCGTCACCACCCTGAGTACCATCGTAAGTATCATTGTGCACATCGCCGGGAATATCGGCGTGCACCGTGTCATATTCTTCAGCATTATGATTGTCAACAGCAATAATCACTAATCACCAAGCATTATTCCACATAATTCGGCGACAAAGCCCTCATCCAAACTTTTCTAGCCTATCATCATCGCATGACAGATCCGAGCTCTTTGGCTCCGCGTCCCAAATCTTCAAAAAAAAACTGGGGTGGCGATCATTCAAGACTGTTCCGTTCAAATTTGGGGATTAAGATTTGGAATGAACAGGTTTGCTTTTGATCTCCAGTATTTTCCTGCCACTTTTCCTTCCAGCGTTTCCCGATCACGGCTTCACCAGACTGTGGATCTTGAAAGTCGAACCCCCCAAAACAGAGTTACCCTCTGGTAAACGTTGACAAAAAGCTATGGAAAGATCCATCATTTTTAATGGGAAAACTCACTATTTCTATGGCCATTTTCCATAGCTATTTTGACATAACCAGAGGGTAAATTTTGGGAAGACAAACAAAGTTGGAGCATTTTTTGCAGGAGCGGAGAGCCCTGCTGGCGGAACTTCTCTGGGGTCCTGGACCTCCCCTGCTGGAGATCATGTCGCTTTGGCGGAGATGGAAAACACATGGCATGGGGAAAAAAAAACGGGGACATCTGGGCAAAACATGGGGAAAACATTGGGAAATCATGAGCAAATCATCTCCAACTGGAGGTTCATAGATGGGAAAACCATGGAAAATGATAGGAAACACTGTACTATAAATGGAGGTTTATGGAGGTTTATGGAGGTTTAGAGCTGGGGGAATTTTCCAGCATGCCATGGTTGATTACAGGAGATGCCGAAAAGCTGGAAACTTGGAACTGATGGAGAAACCAGCCTGAATATAGGTGTCCATATAACCAGCGCAACAAGAAAAACGATATTTGGGAGAGATTAAGACATTGAAAATCTCAGAAAAAGAGGCGTAATATCAGCCATACTTGGGATATACTGTAATGGGTTATAACCATAGTGCCATCCTTGATTGGAGGTTTATGAGTGGGTGAAACACCAATTGAAATTGATAGGGATGTTTTATGGTGTTTAGAATATTAGGTCCAATGGGAGCTCCCAGAATGGCGATTTAAATCACAATGGAAACAATATCTGTTTATGCAAGAAAAACTGCAGGTTGGAATCTGTTTGAAACTGGATTGACTACCAGTTTCATGATTTTTCTTGCGAGTTGAGGATAAAAATTGTAAGTATTAAGTGGTGTGTGTCATTTTCGGATGTTTTAACTGGTAATGTCATACAGCTATGAAAAATGGCCCATCAAATTTCATGCTTCCGGGATGCAGTGCCACTACTAAGTGGCTGAATCATTGCCATAGTTCGACTGGGCTTCAGTCTGAAATCCCATCAAAGATGGAAGGCCATTTGGTTCACTTTTGGCCACCGCCCAAGTATCTATAAACATCTATAAAATGTGGTTCATATTATACTTAACTTTACTTAACCACCAATTTTGGGACCTACCATTAATTTCCATTAACCTCTAAAAAACACAGGTGCTTTTTCCATAGCCATGGCGTAGGTTGGACCGCTTTGGGAACTACATCGCCCAGCGGGTGATCGCCCTGAGCAGCAGTCAGGAAGAAGAGCGCCTGCAGGCGCTTGCCGTCGCTGTTGGTGACGGGCATTGGCACAAAATGGTGGTAAGACAGGGGAAAAGTTCGTGAGAGATGAGCTTAGCATCCAATCTGGCTGGATATGTGTGGAAAAATGTTGATTTTAACTGTTGGTGGATGTTGATTTAAATAAGATGTCGTGCAATTTAACAGTTTGCTATGGAAAACGCATGGGAAGTCACAATTGTTACTACTAGGAAATCTAAATGGGGGCTATGTATGTTTACTGAAGGGTATAGGTGTTTAAATGGGAATGCTATATGTTCTATTGGATATCTCATCTCCAGCTACTGTCATTTTGTTCAAGTCTTCAAGTGCTGGTTTAAATGGCTGGTTTGGACTCACAAGATTGCCTTGTAAAGGGCTGATTTGTGGTACATGAAGCCGTGAGAGCTGAGTAATTTGCATTGGGAGCCTTCGGGGAGCATACCTCATTCCCCACGTGACACCCAAGCGACGGCAGGAGCTGCTCGAAAAAGTAAGGCACAAACTGAGACAAAGCACGAAGCCCGGCGGCGTTTTCGTGTTTACAGGCGGTGCGCTGCTCAAGGGTGGCTTCCAAATGGATGGAGGATATGGTTTTACAATGTTTTACACATCATTGCAGTACATGCGTGCACTTCTGAACATATGAAGAGTTGCGCGTATTTACACCATGTACATTAACATACTGCATACAGCTGTATACAGGTATGCTCATTCATTTCGAGCGGCACCAAGATAGAAAGAAAAGAATATTGAAGGCAATGGCGAGAAAACAGTGACATTATGAGCACAACGTGCTTATCACATTTTGCAGGAAAAAGCACAACATTGTTTGGGCTATCCTGCTACGCTTCATGTCTAGATCTAGATGTATATAGATAAGATATCTCTGTGTGTGCACCGCTATGTTCCATCCGAAGTTTGAAAGTAATTTCAACTGCCCAGTTTATTTTGCAAACACATCTCAGCCCCTTGGGAAGATCCCTCCATCAATCGCCCTTTCTCAACACCAAGGAATGGTAAGAGGATTCTACAGGCTGCCCGGCGGAAATTTGAAGTCTGATTTTGCTGGCCATGACCACAGGGCTGTTCAAACTAGTCCCTGCTGACCGAAATGCACTGAAATCAGCCCTGGTTCAATCTTTTCTTGGGGGAAAATGATCAACAACTAAATTAGTGATGCCGCTTGGGGTCTAAGCCTTGTGCTCATGCACGAAAGCGTGCGTTGACTGCGCCCTTCCGTGGATTTGCTGTGCCTGGAGCATTCAAAAATTGCCGAGGATTCACCGCACTGTTTGGGCATGGATTCACCGCATTGTCTATGGAGATCCATGGGGCATGGCGCAAGCCAAGTAAGCAGAAAGTGTGTACTGAAAACTTGTCACTCCAGGACCAGCAAGTTGCCGGTTTGACCTTCACTCGATTTACTTGAGGGATCCCAGTGAGCACTGGAGCAGGCAAACCACCCTGGCATTTTTTTGTTTCCGTTAGCTTTGAAGCTCAGGTGATTTCAGGTGCCTGATTTCAGTGGCAACTGAATCCTTTGGGTGAACTTTTGTCCCCAGCTTCCTTTCCAAATGCTGATTGGGAAGCAGTTCGATTGATTTGCCCCGAGTTTTCGTGCCTGGCGAAAGGCCAGTCTGTCTGGGGGGGGTGTATTCCCGACTGTGCCGCCCCTTGGCATGGTGTCCTTCGGATGGGTTGGCCGCTGGCGCGGCACCGTCCACCGCAGCAGCCCAGCGGCTTTGTGCACCGCTCTTTTGGTCAAGCGCTGTGGGTCGCGGCGGCAGCGCTACCAGTGCTGCCGCGCGCCGCCCAACTGTTTCGGCGCCGAAAAGTTGGTGTGGAGCCGCGAAGCGGGAAGCGTAACCGGCCCTGCGATGCTGAGCGAGGGCGGCTACTGTTTTGTCACTGGCATTGCATTGCCAGGCCTGTGGCTATAGGCGATGCTTTGTCTCAGTGGTGCTGATTTGAACTTGGCATGCAGAACCCCTTTTCCAAAGGGGCACAGTGGCCAAGGGCCAATACACCTGATGCTTGCGCAATTTCACTTGGATCTTCCTTGACATGTTTGTCAGGAAAATCCTGGAGCTTTGATAGTATTTGCATACTACTTGCATTGGTTCATTAGTCCCCTGCATCATGTATGATGTATAGGAAAAGCAATGTGTGTTTCATGAGTTTCATGCGTACTCTGCGTGGGAGAAACACAGTCAGACTGATAGATTTCAATGTTGACTGGGCCACTTGCGTCGGCAACTAGCCACCTCGCTACGAACCAACCATCCTCTTTGAGAGAAGACTTCTCTTGGCCTGCCAGGAAGTACCAGGAAGTACCAGGAAGGGAAGTCTCAACCCAAGTTGGAGCTTTTTCATTGTGTAGTTTGTACCACTTCAAATCTTTCCCCACTTCAATAAGATTTGCACATGGGCTGCATACACTGAGCATTCTGAACCTTCAAAGCATCGTTGAACTTTAAACATTGTCTTAACCTTTGATATCTTGGGTGCGAACAGAAGGGTGTCAGAGTTTTTCATACCCACATGTTATCTTCGATGACTGGATGAAAATGCGCAGTCGGAGTAGTGATGTGTGACCCTTCCGAGGGTTTCATCAGCCAATGCAATATAGATTCATGCAAAGGATGCAACGGCGCGCCAAAAGCCGTCCTCCACAGCCGGATTGGCTCTGTGGCTCGGTCGGTTGTGCTGTTGTGCAGCAAGCCGGGCGGTTAAAGATGTGACTCGTAAGTTGTCTGTTTTGGATGACACTTCGATGAAGACTTGGTTGCAACTGGTTCCGGAATTGGTGTTGTTGCTTTTTCCAATACGACTGCGCAATTAAGAGAATAGCTTGATTCGAGTTCCTCAGCCCTGAGGATTGAGTGTTGCTTCAGCTGCAACATGGGAAAACCACCAGGTTGACCATACATCATACTGTCAAAATCGGTCGAAGGGAGTGGAACCAGATGCTCATGAGGGACCCGTCGCAACTGACATGTACAATCATGAACAATTACATTATACAATATATATATATACAAATATATATATATATATATGTATACACACGTATATATATGAGGGCAAGTCAAAATAGGAGGTCCGGAACAAGCTCCGGGACCACACCCGTTCCATACCCCCGTTCCATACCCCCGTTCCATACCTCCTTGAAGGATCTGTTCCATACCTCTGTTCCATACCTCTGATCCATACGTTATAATATATATATATATTATATATAATTACTATTTATATATATATACAATTAGATATATATATATATATTAATTACGTGCAATCTGATTTTACATTTGTACGCACATATATGAGCGCACGTACATACATGAGTGCATACATGCAAGAATACGTTTACTATGCCCAAGCCCTGTGATTGTGTTGGCAAGTCTGTGCTTGCAGCACTTACAGCTGCTACCTACTTTGTTGTGTGATGGTAGGGATGTGCTTGGCTGCTGCCAGCTGGCAGTCTAAGAATGGATTGCTTGTAACCCTCCCTCCCTCTCAAGCTGTGGCAGGTTTGTGCCTGCACCACTTAAAGTTGCTGCAGGCTGTGGCACAGCTGTGGTGTTTGATTGTAGAGATGCGCTTGGCTGCTGCCAGCTGGCAGTCTAAGAATTGCGTGCTGCGCTATTCTCGCTCCAAACTGCGAATTTTGATAAAGATGTGCTGCGTGGTGGCAGTGCTGTGCTGGAGTGGGCCGTTTCGTTCCAGACCCCGTTCCATACCGTTCCATACCCGTTCCAGACCTGGAACACCCATGTAATAGACTGCTCGTAAGCCATCCTTTGCGCGTGGGTTATGGGAGGGTAGAATCTTGCATAGTCTTGCTATGCAGGGACACAATCTACCCCATAGGGACCTCTGAGTTTTAAGAGTAGGAGGTGGGACCTGCGTGACAGGTCTGAAGCTGAGTCGACAGCTTCACATGGTAGCCAGTGGGTGACACTGGCTACCGGTCGTGTCGTATCTAGTGCACGAGCACTAGCCATGCAAGGCAAACCTGCGTTGAACAGGTGTACAACAAGGATGTCGTGCAGATGAGGAGTAGCTTCAACGTGCATATCCTTGAGATGTATATTACATATATTACATATAATGTATATATATATATATTTATGTATAGCCTATATTTCATCACACCCCAAAGGTCCGGAACAAGACCAGTTACGAAGCCCCTTCGTTCCATACGTCCGGAACACCGCGGAACGTTCCATACACAATTTTGACTCGGGACCATATATATATATATATTATATTAAATATATATATATGATTATATATGTATATGCCACTGTATATCCCACTGTGTTCCCACATTGTTTCAGATGATTTTTCAGTTGTAGTGGCCTCCCCAAAAGTTACGCCGTTACGGCTTGTTTTTTTACGCCACCAACGGCCACTCGAACCATGGCATCCCCAGATCAGCTGGATGGGAAAAACCAGGGAAAATCCTATTGAAATGGATGGAATGTATGAAAGGGGTACCACCATGGATCACAAAACCTCGATGTTTGTTCTTCATATAAGATTTGAATCCACCTTTTTTTGCGGAAAAAGAAACAAGTTCAAATCCATCAGGGGCTGATGGTGGCAACGTCGGGGCATCGACCATGCATCGTCAGAATGTGACTTTGCATCCGATGTTGGCGCCTCCATCAGGGGTTATTCCTGGCCACGTCGGACGGAGAGGGCGGGGAAAGATTGGCCCGGTTTTTTTCTCGACCAAGATGGAGCCTGAAACCAAAACTGAGGCGTGGATTAAGTGAAGAAACAATTGTTAATTGATCAAAACTATTAATAAACAATACAGTAATTACATAATTGCTTCTAATTACCTGCATTAGCTAGATACACCTTTGTAATCCCATGTCATATAATAATAAGAATAATAATAATAATATATGTAAGGTCAATCAATGTTGACCTCTCAGTTCTGCATTTTTTGCGAACGCAACGGATGCGCCGCACACAGGGCGATCAGAAATGGGGCAGCAACGTGACATCGCATCTGTGATTTTGTGTCATGCAGGGCACCCTCACAGCCCCAGTTACTGGTTGGTGGTTTGGAACATGGCTTTTATGACTTTCCATATATTGGAAATTTCATCATCCCAACTGACTTTCATATTTTTCAGAGGGGTTGAAACCACCAACCAGCCAGTTATATGTTGGATTTTGTTGGTCTACACTTTGGAGGAGAAAAAAAAACAAGATCCTAGACAATATCCCAGCACAAATCCCAGTTGTAGTTGATCACCAACATTCGTCGGCCTAAATGTGGCAGGGCCTGGCAGGGCCTGGCAGGGTGGGGGATTGAGATCCTAACGGTATCTTTTCAAATTTTAATGGGATAGATTTACAATGGATTATAGAATCAAGAAGGGAGTATTATCGGAGTATTTCTTCCAACTATTAACATGCAGGAATCAATTGTGGTAATTTGCCCAGATTATCAGATGACCAGTTTATTTTTCAGGGGGGGTCGACTGAAGGTGTCTCTTTTTTTAGTGCCACGTTAACGGATCCACCTGGCCAATCAGAAAGAAACGCCGCCTGCCTCCGTGGCACGCGCAATGCGTGGGCCGCAAGTACGAACCTTGTGGCCACTAGGGGTGATTCCACTTGTCTCACGACATGGGACATGGGATGCCACTGGGCCGGAATGATTGTGATTGCCATGTGGGCGCATGTGATAACCCTGAACCGTTTATTTCGTCCATTCTACTGGTCCGATTTAGATTGGTGCCTTTGTTGTTTCAACATGTTTCAATACTTTCCCAGGTACAAGTGAAGCCAACCCCTAACACCTGTTATGCATGTTCCTTTTGCGGTGCGAAATGGAGAGACGCGCCGAGAGAATTCGGATTTCGCAGGCTGAGGGTGCTGGGCGGGATTGAGTTTCAACTGGGTTTTGCTTGAGTCCGCCACAGAAATTGCTGTTCCATGTAGCACGTGTTCAGCTGCAACAGCGGATGCGGTACTGTATATATCTGTATAATTATAGTAATTCAATGTATGCAATGATATATTGTGTCAGGTGTC